ATGGCCTACGGAATAAGTAAGTAATTGAAACGCTTACAGGAATGAACTAATTAAGTAGCAGACAAATGGCGAACGAATATGAAGACAGATTAAATTATTGCTAAAATGCTTTCAGAATGAATGAAAAGCTTCATTGAACCGTTGTTGACCTTCGTATCGATCGGACCTCTACGTACTTTATCGATCGTCAGTTAGACGGACGAATCCAATGCTATCTACATTTAATGGGCTAAGTCCTTGAACTATTATTGACCTTCACCCAAAATTTCATCCTCATCCGATCTTCTTTTCTTCTTTTTTTTTCAAGTTTATGATGTCTGAGAACGAGCGCGAAATATATTAAATATCAGGAATTCGGCTCTTACACATACAAAGATTTTTAATAAATTGTATCTTATATCATTTAAATATGCAAAAATTTCTTTTTAATTTACCAAAGTTTTTCAAAATCTTACCAACTTTGGTAATAAATCAACATATTCATTAGTTACCCGACTGATATTGACACTGGTTAACGAACTTGCCATCGATTTTTATCGTATATTCTCAGTAATATTACATAACTAAATTTCGGGGATTTTATATAATAAATTGAAGAAATCGTTTTAATTTTTATAAAAACAAAATCCTCTCAGGAAAGGCACTAAACCCTGATTTTCCTGTCTATAGCAATACAATGAGGGTGTGATAAATATATTGTATTTGTATAGATACAATGGCGTCTGACAAAGTTTTTACATTTATATCCCGCTCAATGTCCATTACTGACACACTGATGAACCGTAACAGGTTTTTGGCCCTCGTAAAATGACAATGGAACTATCTCTCGTAGAGCAAATTTCATGTCGAATGGCTTTGTTCTCAGAAAAACCTCCATTCAAATAAAAACAAATACGAGGTTTTATTTTGTTTTATTTTATTTTTTTATCTATATAAATATATATATATATATATATATTTTTTTTTTATTTTACCATCTTCGGTTCATTGACAACTAAAGTTCAAATTCGACCGAAGAGAAAATGTGGTTTGATAGACGTCACGATAGAATCCAACCTGCCTAAACGTGTTAAAACACAACTGGATGGTGCTAATAAATATAAATAGAAAAGCTGGATTGTAATTTATATTTACCAATTAAATAATGAATAAAGACTTTTTTATGAAGTGATTTTTATTTGCATTTTACTTCCATCATTTGTAAAATTTTAACTAAATTTACGAATTGTCGCATGATGATATGGTATAAAATGAAGCGGTAAAATCCAAAATATATTAAAATCGTTTCCTAACGGATTCGTAATAATGAAGAGACGGAATCTTTCATGAACGTAACATAAATATGCTTCCGTACAGGGCCATGAGGAGCGATCACGGGCTCTAGGAATAGGATCCTCCAGCCTCTCTATCAGTGGCGCGTTATTTTATAGGCAAGAAGGACAATTACCTGGGGCCCCACCAACAGGAGACCACAAACCAATCTTTTATAAGAAGATATTTCTCAAAACAATTTCCCGGAAATTGTCGGAAGTCAATACTTTACATGGAGCCCTCTAATTCAAATTTGCCTGGGCCCCATTAAGCTGTAACGCCCCATATATCTTGTTGATGTAAAATTCTCAGTTTATCAAAATGACCCTTTCCTTCATTCGTCTGAAATTACATAAATTCATTTTCTAAACTTCATAATTAAAATTTTAACACAAAGATACCGCCCTAAGCCCCTATGTAGATTCAAGGCCTAGGGCCCGGACAGGTATAGAGGCTTAGGATGGTACTATTCTTGGCTTTTCTTACGAGTAATTTTCTACACTAAATTTATTCCATTTTCATATTTCGAATACTATTGATATAAAATATATTATTATTTCTTGATATATTAAAATCGATAATCTGTTAATATATGAAGAAACAGTGAATTATAAATATTTATTTTAGAAAATAGATTATTTTAACTATTTAAATTATCATTTTATTCAATTAGGAGTGAGAAGTTTCTCATATTTTTTCAATACGATAAAATCAATCAAAATAGTCTTAAACATTTAACTAGCTTAAAAAGTGAATAACCTAATGACAACAATGACAAGTTATAAATAGTTTTCCTCGTTTAAACTAATTGAATTTTATTATAAAATATATAATATTTATTTTATTTTAAATATTTTTTTTATTGCAAAATCACTCGGTATATGCAATAAAAATTTCATTTGGATCAATTTATGCCGGAGTCAAGTATTTAATAAATGAATGAAGGGCGTGACATGGAGGGTCAAATTACTAATGATGTCATTTCTATTAAAATATAGAAATTATTTTCGTTATTGTATTTTAATTAATATGAAGCGAGATCCGTTTTACTGCTAAGTATCTAGCACATTGACCGATTCATTTTAAATTCTGGATTCTATTCTCATGTTGACATTACTTAATTTCCTATAAAGTAAAAGAGAGGGAATTTTTTAACTAAAATTTTAATATAATTATTACTATCTCACGATTAAAGGTGAATTTATTATAAGAATCTAGAGTTTAATTAAACTCATGATTTAATCTTTATATTCGTGAAGTTTTATTTAAACTCCTTCCCTTCCATCGTGGGTTTAACTAGGCCCACAACGGGCAACCGGGAGGTGGAAAAATGGGTTCAANAGAACTATATAAACTTTCGCATTGTTCAAGAATTACGTAATATATAAAAATCGCGTTATCCCGCTAGACAACGACATTGAATAACTTTCGCCCTCTGGTAGCCGTATAAGATAATTAATAAATATTAATTATATATCATTTAAACGAAGAATTGAAGTTTTCAATAACAATTATCGTAATTTTACTGAATAATCAAACTTTTTGAAAAAGAAAGCATTTTGCATCGTATACTTAAAGTAAAAAAAAAAAAATTATTGATTTAAAGAATTTTTCTACAAGCCAGTTTAAAGCTGTTTATTCAATTGAATGCTTATCCTTCAAAAAGTTTAAAGTTTTGAGAGGATAAGCATTTCTTTCTAAAATATAACTTTCTTCATCTATAATTCAATAGTGAAATATAATTTATTTTATTTTTTACCGATATTCTAAAATACGAATTAAGGATTATTTGATACCGTTATAGGCTACAAGCATTTATTTGATACCGTAGTGGAATCATTTGTTTATTATCCATGGTCCATTGTATTATCTTTAGGCCTATCTGTATAAAAGCCGAAATCCAGCAGCGTGTTGCGTAACTTTCCTGACAAAAAATTTAAAATTGTGTGTGGCACCATCTGTTATAATATTTTATTTTAAAAACCTTTCATTTTATTAATTTACTAGCTGCAAGGATCCGCTTCGCTGGGTTTTTATTTGTTCGTACATTTGTATGTAATATAGTTTTTTATATATATATAAAAGAGTGTTTTTCTGTGGGAAGGTTTTTAAATATTTTAAAGTGTTAATTAAAATTTTAATTTTAGATTTATAAATAAAAATAGAAAACATACACAAAATATCCAACTTAAGTGTAATGACAAGGAAAACTATCAAAATAGTGCTCAGCGGTAGAAAGGGGCTACACCACTTCAAANACATTTATCACATTTACTAGTAACAGAAAAATAGTACTTTTATCTGAAAGTAGCTAAGTAAAACAAATAAAATTAAAGGGTTATTTGAATATTTAAGAATTATGTTATCAGTAACACGTTTAATAAACAAATAAACTTTTACGACACCTTTCGTCATTATTAAACTTATTGCCCTTATATTTATTTGAATATTTAAGAATAATTTTATCAGTAACACGTTTAATAAACAAATAAACTTTTACGACACCTTTCGTCATTATTAAACTTATTGCCCTTATATTAATTAGCTTATTGTTAAATATTTGATATATCCAGTTTTAAATACAGTACAGTAGAGTTTCGATTTAGCATGGGTCTCTTCTCGAATAAAGGTTTAAAAAGTTTCTTATTACCTTTTTGTCCGTTAAATCGAGGTCTTTTTTATTTTTTATTATTTTTTAAACTCCTCTTTCCGCCCTGTGGGCACTAAGAGGGCCTCTTTTTGCAAGCCCATTATCGGTTCGGCCAGAACCACAATGAGATGGCCGGAATGGAGAAGAACGGGGCTCGACATATCCGGACGGACTCCACGGGTCGAAAAATTCCTGGGGATTTTTCGACCCGTCTGGATCGATCCCGGGTCCCCCAGAGCGGTAGGCTGCCACCTTTACCGCTCGGCCATCCGGCTACGGCATATGGTTAGGAGATCAATAGTGCTGTGTCAATAGCCGATACATCAAACTAAAATCGATATTTGCTATGATATCAATATCGATATTTGGCATTTATTTAAAACATCGACATCGATACATCGAAGGAATCTCAAAATCAAGCCCGATATTGATATCAAAATTTTGATTAGCTGTCACTATTTTTATATACATGGTATTTAATATTCGAATATTAAAACATTTCAAAATAAATTTAAATAAATACAAAAATTATTAAAATTTATTTTATATATATAATTAATATTAAATTTAATTTAATTAACGTTTTATTAATTCAGTAAAATTTATACATAAAAGAAATAATTTAATAAATTATAAATAAAATGATATAATTTATAGCCGTATAATCCAGGCTGTATGATATATTTATAATTATTTTAAAATAATATAAATATTTATAATTCAAAAAAGATGTTATCGTTATAAATTGGTCGAAGTCAGATTCTGATGATGTTAATTAACTTTTTATGGCTGACACCTTACTGACATTTATCGACTAGTGGCAACCTTAAGCGGCGCTTCGGTGGCAGCAACTTGTGGAGCATTTTTATCACGTGACCAAGCTGATTCGACAGTGGCAGTGTCAGTGTGAAGATGTAGATCGGTACCAAATGCTTGGTTTTTCTCATCATCGTTCCGGATTCCACGTTTTTGCAAGATAAGTAAGTAATTTAAAAATTAATTTCAACGTTATTTCTCAGTTTTTTGCACGATCATTTAAAAACGTGGTTTATTTTTTATTAGTTTTAACTGTAACTTCGGAAGAATTTCGCTCTTCTCTTTAAGAGCTTTTAATAGTAATGACGTTAATATAACCACTAGAGTATAAATGTTATACGTAAACACGATTATCTACCAATCAGGGAAAAGCTTTAATTAGATCATTTCAACCACGTCAGTTTCTTACTGATGCTAATTCGTATACGTTTGTTTCTATAAATATTACCAGTAATCGCGGTAGGAAAAAAAATTCATAAATTTTATTAAAATGTTAAATTTATTTGAATTTTCTTGCATCGTGTTCTGGTGGCATTTTTTAATTAAGTAAAAGTTAGGTTGTGAATGGCTGATATCGATGAAAAAAATGAGCAGTCACGTGGTTTAGATGTCTTAATTCCCGATTAACGAGGCAGAGTGGTAATAGTTTTGTATTCTGCATAAAAAGAGCCGAGTATGAACTGTTGGAGGAAGTGGAGACAGATTGTACAGGAAACATAATGCTTACGAGACCGATATTGTGCGGCTTAGGTAAATGTGTATTTGGAGGGTGGGGAAGACGATGGTGGGAAAATTTGGTTTTTATACGTGAGGATCAGCGACCCTGTGGGAAAGGAGCGCAGATGGTCGTTGAGCGTGAAAATGATTCTGACTATTTCCTGCCACCGTTCGTCCGGGTGGTGTCAATGCTTTTCTATTGTCGAGTAGCAAACACCATCTGCTACCCCGCGCTTTTTAACTTCCTAAACAGAATCATTGCCAAACAGTGCAACTATAAAATGTTATCTTATCTTCCTAAAACATGTTTGTATAGTTTTTTCCATCTAGTGAGTTTTTTTTCTACTACTCTGCTCTATTGCCCTTAGGAAATTATTGTCCCAGATAAAAACCATTCTTTTGTTATGCACTTCCTGCATATCCAGGTTTTAATTACCTGTGAAAGGTATTGGCAGTTAAACAGAAAAAAAAAGGAAATGAGATGATGAATGAGTGGAATGTGTCTGTGGGAAAGATGTCTTGGATCACCAGATGGGCCTTGAATACTCTGTACTCCAAATTAGATAATAAAAATCATCATCTAGATTTTTGCATCTTTTATTATATTTATAAATCTCCATTATAATGTTATTGAAAGGTAATTGATAATAGATATTTATTACTATTATGAAAAAGATATATTTTTATTATTTTATTATTATAAATTTGTTTATGTTCAGAAAATGCAATGTACTGTATATATTTTTTACTGGAATTTTTAATTCTATAGAATTATTTTCTGGGCTAATTAACATTATTTTAAAATTTATACATTTTAAATATTTTTAAGAGTGCAATGCACTTTATAATCTTATAATTTACTTTATTATTTCAATGCAATTTTTTGCAATCATTTTGACATTTCATTCAACTTGATAACATATTACTATTGTTTTACTATATTTAACAAGTGCAATTTCTTATCTATAAATGTTCAAGCTACTAAATTAAGGTTAATGATCTTGGAATCTTTGTTTATCCTATGAAAAATTATTTCTTTCCTTGATATAAAATATATAGTCTTGACTTAGTCTTCATATATATAATTTTTTCCCATGTTTTTCTAGTCTGTTTTTTCCTAATAGACTCGTGCATTATTGTTAATGGTTATTTTTAGAAAAATGGATTACGAGATAACACTTTCCCACATTTAACTTTTTTCCATGATACTAAATAAACTTATACATTGTATATATACATATACTTTTTATACATTAAATTAGCATAATATTTAATGCTTTAGTAATTTTCACAGCAATTAGAATGTTAATGATTATAATCAAAATTGAGAAGTAATTAATTATAATAATAACATAATAGTAGGTAATTTACATAATTGCAAATTGTTTACTGTTATCATCTAATCTGTGATTCATTTTGTTTTAATTATCTGTTAAAAACTTTCTTACTGACTTTTTTATCATTAATTCTTTTTAATATAAAGTTTTTAAAAACTGCTTATTGTAATCATATTGGAACTCTCTTACACTGATAATTGGTAACTGATAACATTATGCATGTAAGTAAAAATGACTACATTTGGCAAAAATTCTCATTTTATTGATTCTGACATTAAAAAGAAATGTTAAAACCACTAAAAATGTGTTACTAAATGAATTATTATTATATTTTTGCAATTAACAACTATTAGCATATAATTGAAAAGAAATATCAGCAATTTAAACTACTATATTGCAAATAATGATTAAAATGATTGAAACTGATAATGCATAATCTTCATCAATCATATGTTGAAAATGATAATGTGAAAATACAGTTTAAAAATGCTTATTTACCTGAAAATAATATTTATAGCAAACTATTACAGTAAGCAAAGTTTTAAATTTATTTTAATCATTGTTTTGCTAATTCTGGTAACATTCAGTGACTAATAACCTCCATCATTACAATAAGCAGATTATATTGTGTGCAAATAAAAAAATATTATATGATTTTTTTTTTAATTTGAAATCATGAAAAAATATAAACTTAGATGTTAACATAAATTTTATTAAAATTTTAAAGGTACAATACATTGTTTTCAAATTTACAGTTCATAAATGAATGTTTTTCTACAAATTATTATTATTATTATTTTATGTTGTTTACAAATGACTGAGATAACCATCTACATCTAGTTTTTCCAGTTTTTCTAAAGTAATTTTTTTAATGGGTAATAAATGCAATTCAGTTTCTTTAACAGTATACAGTTGTCATCATTTTTAATTGAATTGATAATTCTCAGATCAGTTTATATTTTTCAAAACATTCTTTATTATTTAGAATCACAATAGTCCCCCATTGCTATCATTTTGTTAAGCTGCATTATAATTTATTGATATGTACTTAAAAAATTCATGATTCTTTAATGAATGCATTATTTGTTCAAAAATGTTTAGATATAGTAGTGTGAAGGCAAAGTATATATATATATATATTTTCTTTTGTAAGAGAATAATAATCTTATTAAAAGAACTAATAAAATTGTTATAAATATTTATAAATTGTAAACATAAAGGCAATATTATAAGTGAAAAATTAACATCATTTGATAATACAAACAAAAAATATAAGAATATTATAATGATAAAGCCATATATTTTAAGTTATGTATATTCCAATATTTAAAACATTAAACAATAATTCTGATAGAATTTTACCATTATAAAAAAAAAGAAAAGATTTTGGAAATGCTTGTTCTGTTTTCAGAAGTATTGACTGTAATTAATTAATGAAAAAAGTGTCAACTTTTTAATATAATCTTTAAGCTATCTTTTCACACTCACAGCCTCAACATGTGGTTGATAAGAAGATGCATTTATCAGTTGTTGTTATCAGTCAATTTAAATGTTAAATGTTAAGTTTTTAATCATTACTTGCTTGCAGACAATAGTTTAAATTTCTGGCATTTTGTTTTTTTTTTACTTCAATTATATACTAGTTGCTATTAATTAATAACTTCTCTTTGTAATATGACTCAATAAAACTAGAATTTCTATTAATTATAGTCTTATTTACTTGCCTTGCATAATGTTATCAGTAAATGTAAGTCCTAAAGCAACTACAATAAGTGGATTTTACTATAATTTTAATATATATAGAATTGTTATGAGGAACATATAAGATTAAATGAATTATAATTTTAGGAATTTTAGGATTACTAAATANACAATTTTACACATATACAGTACTATAAGAATATTTGAATCAAAGCGTAAAGAGCTAGTATCGGTCTTTAAATATCTTATATTAGCTTGTTCAGTATGAAACAGCTACCGCAAGCAATATGATTTATATTAAATCAAGTGTTATTTGTTTAATTACGTTAACAAAACAATCGCAGTGTCATTGCAGCATTCCAATGTTTTCAACCATGAAAAAGAAAATAAATTATGGTTGATTTAAAAACATTTTGATAATACGAAAGTTAAACTTACCAAGACAAAAACTCACAATTTTACAAATCTATATATATATAAAAATGAAGAAAAACAGTGTAATCTGAATTTTATTTCTTTACAAATACAATTACTATTGAATTTTGATTGTTTTATTTTTATTTAGGTCATGATATACATGAAGTTATGACTTAAATGAAAGGAATACATTCATTGATCATGGCTAGATGCACTTTGGACAAACTATTTTGGTTGTGCATATTAAACTTCTGTACTCAAATTATGCAGTGTGCATTTCTCTGTTCCAGTAATTCTTCCAACAATCAATCATGTAAAAGGTCGGAAATAATTAGTCTTCCTGGACATTGGCCTGCAAATTACTGTGTTATCACCAATATTAAGTTTCAAGTTAGTAACAAAACAATAACTGTCAATAAAGAAAATATGAAAGATTTGGATAAATGTTTTAAAATTCAAGATATTTGGAGTTTTCAACCAAAGCAAATTGATTCAGATAATTTAATCTGTGATCAAGTATTTCCAAGAGGACACTTTTTCACTGTTTATTATTATCATGGCAGCAATTATTTTCATCTTCATTATGATACATTGATTCCACTTTACTCTGCATTATATTATCAACAGACTTCTCTTCCAAAAGAAACAGTTTTGTTACCAGCAGTTGAGATAAAACGGGGCGAGGTAAGTTAAAATTTAACTATAAAATTATTTAGATAAAGGTACAATAAAGATTTTGTTTATGCAATTTCTGGGCCTTATTTTTAAAGTAGAAAATAGCTTATCCAAGAATTAGATGATAGTTTTTAATTTTATTATGTGTTGTAATTATATAAATATAGTCTAAAAGATACATTATCATTTAGAAAAAATTACATGAGATAAATGAAACTTATTACAGATTTTAAGATTTGCTTGAAACTATTATTATGTTTTATATTAAAACTACATTTTTATAATTTAATATTTTGAAAATTTTATATAAAGTTTCATTTTGATGTAACACACAATTATGCAAAATAGATTATTTTGTTATCAAATATTTTTTGCCATTTCTTCTAAACCAGTCTGGATATTTTTCTGCCATTTCTGTGTTAAGTTTAGTACAGAATAGAGGATTTGATCCCGGGATTTCGAAAATCGGGATCCCGGGATCCTGACCACTTTTCAGTCCCAAAATTTTCGGGATTAAGTTTTCCTAATCCCGAGATTTTCGGGATTGACATCATTTTAAAAAAGTTGCAAAATAGACTGCATGAAGCGAAACGTTCAGTGCCAGTGCTTTTAACAGAATTGCTTGCCTATCATTTTAATATAAAATACAAGAAATTTTATTCCAAGCAAGCAGCAGAAATTAACCTAGCGGGCTTGCGATGCTTGCTTGGAATAAAACTTCTTGTATTTTCAACTAAAATGATAGGCAAGCAGTTCTCACTGGGTTACTTGGTAATATACTTCATTTTTGTATTTTTGAATTTTCGCGGGCGCCAATCGATTTTCTGGCGCAGTCAAGAGCACTACTCAGTGCGTTTTACCTGTCAATGTGTCAGCCATCTTGTTTTGCCAGTGTGGTTAATATAGACCCGACGCCTCTCGCTTAGGGGGGTCGACCTTAGGTGAAAAGGTTACGACCCCCGCCTTGCCCGTGATCTGTCAGGATGATGCGAGAAAGTCTTTTTACGTTTGGGAGTAGTGGTTTGCTGGATGCTGAGAGACTCACACAGAGACCGAATTTACAAAATTAACGTGTTTATTTTTAGAAAGGCATGCTTACAATGATCGAAACAATCGGGATTGTAGCCTTTACTCCTACAATCCCGATCTGTGTCGACCGGACTGTTTTCTTCCAACCTCCCCGTGTCCTCGAAGCTATAACTAGAACGGGCTTATAAGTATTTACTAACGATTCCTCCAACTTCCATCAAACCTAAACGCGTTTTCTCAGCAGCTGCATATATGTGCAACAAATTGAGAAGCAGACTTGGTGATGAGACACAGGATGCGTTGTTATTTCTCAGATCATATTTTCGCAATTCAAATTAGAATGTTCCTATTAGATTAGTTTTCTTTATATTTAAGAAAAATGTGACTGATTAATATTATTTTTAAATACTTTTTGCTAAGAAACTTATCTTACTACCTACTTACTAGGTTGCTATATGAAAGTAGTCTATTTAGTCGATGTTAAGAGAGATTTTTGTTAATTTTCAACGTTTATTTGCATAGTTTGTTACATAAAGGTTTTTTCAATTTATGTGAGTTTAAAGAGATCTCAGTGATGCTTAAAAAAGAATAAATTTAACATGAAGACTGAGTGATTTTAAGTCTGGTTAGTCTGACTCTGAGTCTGATTAGTTAGAGTGATTAAATTAGCTAGGTGTATACTGTAAAATATGTTGATTTTTGTCTAAATTTTGATTTGTTGATTTCTGTAAGATTTTCTTATTTTTTATTAACCCTCAATACCAAAATAATCCCGGGATCCCGGGATTGACTAAGTATAATCTAGAAATCCCGGGATTAGAAATAAGGACCGGGATCGAATTCCTTAGTACAGAAGAAATGGTAAAAAAAATATGTAAAATAAAAAGAAATTATCTATTTCTTTATGAAATAATTTCTTAAAGATTATTCTTTTTTTTTTTCTTTCATTTCTGATTATTTGATAAAATTTGATAAAGCAAATAGTGCCTGCTATTGTGACACATTGAAGCAGTTGCTGGATGCAGTTTATTGAAAACAACTTGGGTTGCCACAAACAGGCATCGTGTTCCTGCAGGCCACACTTGGCCAACACCCCATGTGACTTGTTATGGTGCTACCAGTGGGAGGTATTGAGCCATGTTCCCCACAGCTCTGATTTTCATCTGTTCAGACCATTGAAGATTAGGTGTGTACCAGTTACATGACAGTAGAATTGGCAAATGCTTATAATATATTGGCGCTACCTTGAGCCTGTTATGCCAATGCCTAAAGAAGCACATAACTTCATTAAGAGCAACATGCAAGCCACAATGGTTTAGCCACCCTTGCATTGGAGAAGGATGTATTCACACACATCAACTAAGCAAAAGTTATACATCCTTCAATGGTTACATCCAACCTATGGTACTCAGAGAAGATCAAAATCTATAAAGCATGCAGGAGAAATTATGCTATTAACTTTAACTCTCTTTAAGCTCTGAAATTTTTTTATGCACCTGGAAACAAAATTGTTTTTACCTCAGGCTACAAATGGAATTTGTACAGTTTGTCCCTAAAGTCTGAACACAGGCAAAAATACATATTTTCAAGAAATGAAATTTATTAACAACATTTTATTTAATTGGAATATTAAATAATGTCTTAAAGATGATTTCCATCATTTTCAGAAAAAGAAGTCAAGGGGTTAAGGATCACGGATGTGATAGAAACCTAGTCTATGTAGGCTCTATGAAGCACTTAGGAGTTACATTGAAAGAACACTCGGCTGATATACAGAATGAAAGGACCACCACTGCTCTGGCCATTTACACCTCGGATTCAGACATAGACCAGATTTTAATTAAGCGAGAATTATCCACACCACACAACATGTACACCACCTCAGGTGGTTAGAGGCTGCATGCATATACATAGCTAGCCTTAGCAGTAATAACTGCATCAATCACAAAGAAGAGATAACTGTATCAGTAGCATGGCAGGTGCCTATGGACAAAAATTTAAGATTACTGTCAATCACTGGAGAGCACGTGCCCAAGAAGACTTAGTTGAGAAGAGCATGTTTGAGTTTCAAATTTGTTTTCTTCAATCTGCATTCCATCAGGAATTCAATGGTATCTGAAGAAGAACCTGTTCGGTTTGAAAACATTAGTAATGAACTGTATATTTTTTTCGTTTTTACTCATTGTGGGAGAAAACACCGGTAAAAGGTTTCGAGGATATTTTTAATTTACTACACTCCATGTTGAGTTAGTGATGTTTTGATTTAGTCTTGAATGGATTAAGCTGATTTTGGCTGATTTCATATTTAAGAGTTAGACAGTAATTCCTTTGCACAGGTTTGGAGGGCCTTATTTGAGATACAAAAAAAAGTGACATTCAAAAAGCAGCCTGTGTCATATGCATCACTGACCAATTTAGAAGTTGTGATAGATTGAATTTGGTGGCTAATGACCACTGAAAACAAATTTTTTAGTGGTCTTTAATCACCATCTAGTTACTACAATAATTGGTAGTAGTTTGCAGGATTTTTGGGTGTTTTTAATAAATTTGGATTATTAGTTCTGTGGTTGTTCATATGTAGGAACACATTTGTATTTTATTGATCATTTTGGAATTCTCCTTTTGTTTTTATTTATAGTGTGTTATAATAGAATTTTGTAACATGTTATAAATTGCATAGCTTTACCTATATTAATTTATTTATAAACATTTATGTATTTATGCATGTAATTATTTACATTGTTTTCAAAAATCTATTTATAGATTTTTGAAAACAATGTAAATAATTACATGCATAAATATTTTATTTCATTGATTTATATATATATATATATATGTTATGATGACACAGAGCTCACTATAGCATATTAATTATTATATATTTTAAATATAAATCTACATGTATTAAAAAATCAATATTATAAATGACAGATAGTGCTGAAAGCATAGTGCTGAACAATCTGTCAAATGTTTTCATCTAAAAAATAAACCAAGAAAAAAATTTTCCATTCTGAATATAATGAAATGCATTCAGAAATACTGAAAGAAGTTTCAGTAATATGCTGAATTCATTAATCAGCTAAATTATTAAGACTTAACTTGCTTTTTACTGGATTCTTAATTTTAGTTTTTAGATTAATTTTCATCATGCTATGTTCATTAAAACCCTAAGTTTTTTAATGGATATAAAATTTATTTATTTCAAGGTTTGTTTGTCTAGATTGGGTTGATTTTGTTGTTAATAATTTTTTTTAGTGAATGAGAATAGATTATATTGGATTAGATATATATAGAATTTTAAAATTTTTATTTTATTTATTGATTAAATTTAAGAATAATATAGATTACAGTATTTGACATTAAATAAAATTAAAATTTTTAATTATTGCTTTGGAATTAAATAAGAAATTGCACAAAATAAATTTCTTGAAAAATATTTGTTATATATATATTTAAAGTTAATTATAATTAAATATTATGCATTCCTAAAGTTACATTTAATATATTTCATGTTGCTACAAAATATTTGTATCAAGTAATTGAATTGACAATTGGTTAAAAAATTTTAATGATTACAATGCTTTATAATAGAGTTCATATATTCAGATAACATTTAAAATATTTAATTCATGTTTTTATAATTTTCAGGGAGTAGATTGGAATACAGATGCTTTCATGAAATCAGAAATGTATTGGTTAGATATGTTGATGGTAAATTTAAATTTTTTTTTTTATATAACTCAACATCATTTTCATCAGAATTATCATTAGTAATCTTTTTAAAGTAAATATATGATCTATAAAACATTGATTTGCTTGTTTCCATTTCTCTTCAATTCTTTTTATTTTCTTAAATAATTTACTAATTGAATTTAAGATACACGTCCCTTCATAATTATTACAATTTCCTTTATTACCCTACTCAAAATTTGATAAAATGTATCTCAACATCATGTCCTTGGAATTTTTATTCACTTTTTTAAATTTTATTAAAATAATTTTATTGAAGTTATTTACTTATCTTTGCCATATTTTGACAGTTGTGTTGTCATCCTTCCACAGCTAGATGATTGCCTTTTTTTTCTTCTTTGCTTGCATTAAGATGCTTTTTATTTCTTCCAGTCTAAGAAATGCACTTTTATTTCTTACACTCATTTCCCTTCTATCAGTATTCCTATTTCTTTAAATTCTTTTTTCTTTCATTTAACAAATCTTCATAATAATTGTACCATTTCTCTACAGCTCTTATTTATTTTAATTTTCTGTTTTCTTAGAATTTTTTTCCTCCTTGCTTCAGTAATCTTTTATATTCTTTAAATTATTATTTTTATCTCTGCACATGTTCTATCACATAACTCCAACTTCATTTACATAATTTTTTTTCTTTTTTCTATCATTGTATAAATAATACAATGATAGAAAAATTCTTACTTGTACAATTCTTACTTGTAAATATGCTTCTCTTTTTTCCTCAGTTTTGTCTGTCTGTCTAGTCTCATTTCACTGTTTCTTTCATCTCTACTCAAGATATTTTCTTAACTATGTTTGTCACATAGTTTTAAATATCAATGGCATTTTTCTTGTAGTTTTTTTATCTAGTTCCATTATCTAATCTTTTTATGGTGTAAATATTATTTTCAATATAAAATAATCTACATTAAATGAAATAATTCTAGCTCTTCCAAAAGAAATATTTGATTTGTCAAGTGTTTTTTGTTGACTGGGCAGCCATTGTCAGGATTGAATCAATAATGAATTTGAATTTGGAGTATAGAATTCATACAAATTTTTCACATTTAAAAGTTACAAAGTTCTAGAACAGCTTGAGAAATGAAGTTAGAATAAACAAGCAAAGTGAAATAAAAATACAGTCGATTCTGCTTAATTGGGACACATTGGAACTAATCCATTTTGGCCCAATTAAGCAGCTGCCCCAATTAAACGAACTAATAATAAATTCTATAATAAAATATGTAATACTTAGGTAAATAAATAAGTAGGTAAAAAATAATAATTACATACCTATTTTAATGCTTTATTAAACCAAAATATAAAAAATATTTGTACTATAAATTTGCCAGACTCACGACGATAGATAACTGATTTTCATAATGCTAGTGTTGCCAAATGTTAGTAGTGACATACACAAGGGTTGACCATTTGATTCGTTCCTGATCAAACAATTTTTTCTTTCTTACTTCCTTTCAAGAGGGAGAAAGAAAAGGGTTTGTCCAAAAGTCATTTTATGGTCTTCCTTTGAGCAGTTTCCTTTACTTGGAGGTGGGCCACTTCAGCGGGAGTGTTCGTAGAATATACCAGCTCAATGTTGGTCTTAACAATTGGATGGATGCTGTCTGAATCTAGACGTAATTATGCACACAATACCTTCCAAGGGAACTCTAGCTGTCTTCCAATTCAGTTGAGAGACTTTGAAAAATTGTCTGGTGATCTTTGCCCCTTTGCTTTTAAGGGGATTGTCCGGTTCAATCCAGAGCAGGATCAATAACTCACATTCAGGTCCGCCTAAGACGAAATCCCCATGTGATACATTCAGCTATGCTGACCCCCTCCAGAAAAACTGAACTGCCTGAGCAAAAGACAAAATCGCTTTGTCTCTGTCAACCGTTAGGCCTACATGACATTAGTGTATGTTATGTAGTACCTACATATTTTCAGAAGATTACTAAAATATATCAAAAATTGCTAAATTCCTTTTCTGCTACTATCCCAATTAAGTGATATGTATTAATTTATTAGTTTGATTTCTGTTCTTTGTGATTTGGCCCAATAAAGCGGCTGCCCTGATTAACTGGAGGCCCAATTAAACGGAATTGACTGTATATCAAAAAAATGAAGCAAAAATACACCATGTTGAGTGAAATACAGTAATAGACATGGTGTCAGTAATCTTTTACAAGTTTTCATGTATTTAATACACCAGTTTTCAAGACTTGTTATTGATCTACATTAAAATTGTTCACTTTCAGCTATTCACTGTTCTGTATTACTTTTCAGTTTTACTTTTTTGTTTAATGCCTTTGGAAAAGCAATTTAGCTTCTTCCAGGGACATTAAGGGCAGGTATAATGATCAGATCTGCACAGTGGCGCAGCATGGGTGTCAGCCGCCCAGGGTGGAGGAAAATTTCACCGCTCCCTTATTTAGATATCTGAATTTAAAAGACTAAAATTCAGTTTCTTCACAGAATAAGTAATGAAAAATTCCGTGCTCATTTCAGTCAGTCCGAATCGTAGGTGCAATAAAAATATGAAATGAAATGATTCAAATTTTTACAAGATGTTATTATTATTTGTTGTGAAATTTTTCGACTCCCTAAAGGTGCCGCCCCCACTACACTATGCCATGGATTTGCAGTTTGCTTCTTCCATATGTACATGTATTACATATATAACAATATCACAGAATTAATAATTGATTTCAGATTCCTTATTTTCCATATCCTTATGTGTATGTGTATATTTATGCTGGAAAATTGTATTATCTATTTTTATTCTAAACTTTATGCAAAAACTCTTTATAGTCTATCCTCTTTATAGTTATAGTTTGTCCCCAATATACACAAGATTACTACTATATCTAGTGTGCCAAAATTAAAAACAACCATATACCATTTTCAGAAGAAAGGAGAAAATTAGTTAATATTTTTAATTCTTATATATCTGTAGACAATGAAAAAATAGTCAATGTGGTCTGTAAGAACAGAATGTTTGGCTATTTTTATACATGCTTATTATTTTATTTTTTTAATTCAAATTTAATGCTTTATATTAAAATTGGTCACATTATCATAAAATTATACAGAAAATGTCTTTATGATTGTGTCAAGAAAACTTGTATCACTCTGAAGTTATGTAAATCTGGCTTACATAAATTGGGGACTGACTATTCTCAGAATATGCTACTCTTTCATTGAAGTCACTAAATATAAAAGTTCTCTATGTATAGAAATTTTCATTAACATCTCATTGCAATTTTTCATAATAAAAAGTTTATAATTACATTTATTTTTATATCTTTGGTTGATACATAAATGTATATAATAGTTATTTTTTTTTTCCCCCATGTATTTTTATTAGTTAGGTTAGAGCTTTATAAATTAAAGAATATTAACACTATCATAAATCATTTGTGATATTTTTTTCATCAGAATTGAAATATTACTTTTGCTTAAAAGCAATGTTTCACATATGGTGAATGGTGACAAAGTACTTTTTTTCACATTGCCTAAAAAATGGATGTAATCTCTAATAACTTCTTACTCTTCCCTTTTTGTTTGTTACATATAATAGTATTAAGACAATCTAATTTAAATGTTTGGAACAAAAACAACCATGTTATTGATGAATAATTCAGTCACATGTCCGACTAAGTCTTTCAGCATTTTAAAATTTTAAATGTATACAAGGAGCCAGTCCAGACTAAAAGTACATACTGCACTGGATATCAGTATGTGCTTTTAGCCTGGAATCTAACCTATGAACCAACTGATTTGGATAATCTTGTCAGCAGTTATACTGTTGATATAGTTCTGATTTACTAGAGCACAAAAGTTTCTTCATCCATGGTGACACCATTAAAATTCTTACCTGTAAAGACACCATATTGTTATTACTAATGATAGTTCTGATGGTGATAATTTAATATAAATTAAGTAATAATTTAAATATTTTTTAAATAGAAATAATAACCATTATGAGAACTAAGATTATATAATATTATGTAGGGTTAGTCAATAAGTTCATGCACTTTTTGTTGATAGATGACAGTAGATATTATGAAAAGCAACAAAGGTCTGTTCAAATTTTGAAAGCACATAATCATTTGAAATTGATATTTCAACATTTATTATTTCTTTTAAAACCATAAAAATTGGTTGTGTTTTGTGCATTTAAGATGAATTGAAAGATGGATAAACAAAATAAGCATTTTTGGCATATTATGGTTTTTTTATAAAAAAAAAAAAAAGCAAAAACATAGGGAAAACCTGTAAAAAGATGTATGCAGTGTATGGTGAGGATGCCTCAAAAGAACTTGTTTACCAGAAGTGGTTTAAGATATTTTGTTATGAATTTTTTCTGTCCAAAAGACTCCACTCTGGGGTCAGACAAGAGATTGACACCAATCCATACTAAACAACACGAAAGATTGCAAACATTCTTCAGATATCTGCATTAACTTGCCTATGTTAGCAAGCTCAATATTTGTTTGGATTCCATGCAGATTGACTAAAGCAAATTTTCTAGAACTAATTTCCATCAGCAATTCACTAAGATAAGGTGAGGAAAGAGATTCATTTCTATAGCGGATGATAATGGATGATGCAAAATGGATCAGGTACAACAATGTAGAGTGCATCATCAGTACTAATTTAATAAATTAAATTAGATAAAATTGCAAACTGTTTTATGTATGATAAATTAATTTTTTTATTTTAATATAGTATTTTAAGTTCATTCAGAAATTCAGATAAAAAATTTGATCTAACTAGTGTATCTATCATAAAGACAATTTATTTGATTTACTAAAAGCTTTTTTTAATACAAAGTTTAAAATTTTACAGACAATTGCTGGATCTCACAGATTATTACCATTGGATAAGAGACTTGCTGCAATAAATAAAACAATGTGTTTTGAAAGAGCCTATTTTGGTGTAAGTTTTTCAATTAAGCAGTCTTTGATTTTGTGTTTTAAAATTAAAATATATAAATATCTTTTCAGACTCCAAGAGTTAAATATTCTGATCCTTCTTTGATAAAAGCTTTTATAAATTTTGTAAAGAAGACTTTACAAATAGAAAAGATTAAAATTGATGCTCACAAACCAAAAGTTGCTCTTATTCACAGGTAGGAATAAATTTTTATTTTTATTTTATAGTAATGATATAAGATTTTATATAAGGTTATTTTTGATCAAATTTAATATAAATTCTAGGGAAGGCAGAAGAAAAATTCTGAATGAAGATGAATTGAGTAAAAGCATTGAATCATTTGCTGTAGTAGAGATTATTGATTTTAGTGAACTTTCTTTTAAACAACAAGTTAGTTTTTAATTAATTTAAAAATGAGAATTGATTTGTATTGGAATTCAAAATGATTAAGTATATAAAAAATATCTATTCTAGGTTCAGAAAGTTCAGGAATATAGTGTTTTGGTTGGAATAAATGGTGCTGGGTTGACAAATGCACTTTATTTACCTGAAAGCAGTGTTGCAGTGCAACTTGTTCCATATAAAGTAAGTTGAAATTATTTTATATATAAGCCTGAAAGTTTTTAAAAACAGGTGCAAATTGTTTTCATTATTATTAGTATTAGTTTTTGAGTTATCAGTGCAAAATAATTTCATAAATTAGTCTTAATATTTTGAAGAATATGAACAAAAAGAAGAAATATAACTTTGTTGTGTAAATTATTGAGTAGTTTTACAGTTTAGGAAGAGATTTTTTCTGACTGAAAAAAATATTTGTATCAAAATTTTTAATTAAAATATATATTTCACTTATCTATTTTTGCTTCATTTCTGAAGCCATTCTGAAACTTTGTAACTTTTAAATTTTAAAATTGTATGAATTTCACATTCTAGTCCATTATTAGTTTGATCCTGAGGATGGCTGCCAGTCAGATGAAAACATTTGATTAATAAAATTTTTCTATTGTAAGAGGCTAGAACTATATCATTTATTCACACACTAATTTCTGAGGATTATTATTCTGTTATATTTTATCAAATGCAAAACTGTAATTTAATTCCACTTATTAAAAAGAATGATTTTTGATTACTAGTTTGTAGCTTGTATTTTATAGAATATACTTAATTTATGTAATTGCACTCATTGCACTGCAATTTGAAAAAATTGTAGACTTATAAATTTCCACTGTCATATGTTTTTCCATCTGTCTTTCCTTAATCTCAAGAACAGAGTTAGATAGATGAAATCCAAGACCAAATATGGAAACCTTAGGTTCTGGAGGCCCTGATTAACTATATACAAATATCTAATACAAATCAGAAGTCATGTTATTTCAATTCAAAACTCTTCCCCTGAAAGATGTTAGATAGATGACTGGCATGGCCTTATTGTTAAAGGAAAAGTATGATGTACAGAGGCAAGACACTACTAATAATTTCAGGTGGAGAGCATACATTTTAAATGAAATAAATTAAAAATGTGATTAAAAATTGCAGCCTGGCATTGTGACAATGTCATAATATTGATAAATAATTGCATGTTTCAATCTATTTTATAATAGAATTTTATTTTTATGGCACAAAGCTTTACTACACGATGATAATTAACAATTATTCCTAAATATGCTAATTTGATAGTTACCACGGTACTATTAATAAGATAGTTTGTTTTCTATAACTTGTAATATTAAATACCAAATTACAAAAATGTTCTGATTTTCTGTTATTTATTATAAAGTTGTACATAATAAATATAAATTTTATCTGTGAATTTCTAGGCCCAATTAAATGTTGATGAATTTGCAACTCTGCTGAAAGCTAGAGGACCATATCTTCAATGGGACAATACTCATTCAGAACTTAATTCTCCCACTAAATCTGATCCTTTTAATAATGGCTCTGACACTATAGTACACAAACAGGAATTTATAAAAATCATCAAGAAGGCATTAGAGTTACAGCGGAATTTTCTGAATCAGAAATTCATTGAGTGAAATTGGTTTGTTTAAACAAAAAAAGAAAAAAAATTAAGGTTTGCTTGATCTGTGATGTGGTTTTGTATATAATATACTATAATTGTGAAAGTTGTAAACATTACTATAGTTTATATATAATGATTGAAAATTTTAAAACACTTTAATGTAGTTGTTTTTTAATATTTCACTGTACTTTAAAAATTATAGCTACAAATTTATATTTAAAAAAGGTTAATAGTTTAGATCATAAATGTTTAACTTCAGAAAGTTTTTGTCAATAATATTACACAAAAAATTGTTGCTAATATTTGTTAAAGAAAAAATTTTAAATTTGATAAAGTGGTACAAATTTGTTGTTTAGTATATTTAAATCTATTAATTACTAAATAATTACATTTCACAAAGATTATTTTATTGAAAGTGTTTGATAAATTTTCTCTTGTAAATAATAGGATATTTGCTTTTAATATGATGATTCCTAACTTTCCAAAAACTGTTTAATTAATTTTTTTAATGATTTTGTAATGGTTTTCACATTTCTAATAATCCAATAAGAATGACTCATTTGCAAACTTTTAACAGGAATTTGTTACATTTTACATTCCTAGAATTGTGATATTTAACACTATTATTTCTACACAATTTTGAGTCATAGAACATTTCTTAATGCAGCTAAATATTTTATATTTTAAATGAAGCTAATTTGATATTAATATTGGTTTTTTTTAATACATTTTTATAAACAGATATATCTGTTTTATTTGAAATTTAGAAGATATACAATGTAATTTAGAATTAGTGTTGAATTGCATTCATTAAATGACAATCAATCATTTTAACTGAAAAATTGTTGTCAATATGAAATTTACTGATGTGTATGCTTTATCATTGCATTTGAAAGATTTATTATTAATTTGCTATGTAATTATTGTACATTGGAGAAGCTTTAATGTACAAATACGGATAGTTAATGGAATAATATACTTTGAATAAAGCAAATTATCTCACAAATTTGAATCTTATAATAATTGTGTATTAACAAATAAGAGAAAATAGATGTATCATTAGTGTACTGATTTGATTTATTTAAAGTATCTATTCCATAATACTTTTGGATAATTTAACTATTCACTAATTAATTACTAAGTTTCATTTTTGTAGTAAGAAAAACCAAAAATCTACTATAAAAAATATTTAGAGATATTAATGCTTAATATTCATTTCATTTTCTTGTAAATGACATATTAATTCAATTAACAATATATTGAATAATTATTTTGTTTTTTCAAGAATTTATTTTATAATTGTAATATTGATGGTGATGAAAAAAATTTAAATTGAAAATCTCGATTTTATGAACTGCAGTGAACTATTGATATAGTGAACAATTTTATTAATTCTTGCTATTCTTCAGTCAAGTAGTGAATGATTTAGTTTAGTCCTTTGAGAATTCATTTTTTCTTGAAAACCATACATAAAATTTCCTAATAATGTAGATTAGGTTAAATTTGCTAAAAGGGAAAACTTACTTTGCTTAGAATATTTGTTCAGAAATTATGTTGTAATTATAAAAAAGAATATAATTAATATCTTGATAAAGTGACTGCATTACAAATAGTGATTTCCAGTTTTTTTTATAAATGTTTGTAAAATTTGAGATGTTTATAAATTACAATTAAATTAGAGTGGATATTCTGATTTTCAAATCAGAGGAGAAAAAATTACATATGTTGTTATACAAGAAGTAATAATGAATAATTAAATGTCTAGAATATATATATTAAAAAAAATTCATATACAAAATTGGTAGAATATTTTGAAAGTGTCAATTCAAACTTGACATTCGTCAGTATTTCAAACTATAAACTGCATTGACTTAGTAACAAGCTCTAGAACTTGATTTAGTTGTATCATCTTGTATATAAAATTTATATAAAACAAATATTTTATATATAATTATATGACATATTTCAACTACTTATCTTTATACTCTAAGTTTTTCATATTTATCTATAAATTTTGACAATATTTATCCTTAATTTATTAAATAATGAGGTTAAATATGGTTGACTTATATATGATGACAATGATCATACAGAAATTAAATTTTTAGAAACAAATTAGCTTCAGTAATATGCAATGTACTTAATTCCTTTTTATATTCAAGTTCATGTTTAATGAAAATAGGAAAACATTTGTTCTATTGTGATCGTGTACTCTCGTTAGGAAATGTTAATATGTTCATGTGGAGCATCTTCTCTTAGCCCTTTGTGTATTGTATATAGGTTATTTGATAATGGTATATTTGTATTGAAGTAGATTTTTTTAATCTGTTATTTTTCTGAGATGATGTATATTTTTATACAATATTTCAGAATTTACTTTATTACTTCAAATTACATCATTAATTTAGAAACTATATACATATATTTTTTTATTGATTTAAGGTTATTCATGGTTATATAATTATATATTCATTTTGTTTTATATTCCTTTAAAAACTGAATTTTATACTCTGATGTTTAATATGTAAATTTATATTATAGAATCAAAATTTATTTTTATTTTATACTTCTAAATATCTAGTTTATGGTTTTGTATGATATAGCATTGAGTAAATTTTCTTATACTTCAATAAATGTTCGCTAACTTAAACTGAACAATATATAAAAATAGAAATAATTTTTCATAGATTAAGTTCTTTATTGCCAATTTATATCGGTTAGATTTCTAAATCAAAAATAATCTAAAAATTTCCTTTGTGCCGTATTTTAAAATATCTACCTCACACTTTGTTAGTTTTAAATGCACTGGATGTTAGTTGTATAGTGTTACTAAATGATCAAAGAAATGTTAAATCAAATTTTATATTTTTGGCCTCAAAATACAAATTTTTCTTTCTTAGAGAGAAAATCTCTAGTAATGGTTCTTTCAAAGATTGTGTATGTTTCTAAATATATATATATATGCATATTCTATATAAATATAAATTGTGATGTCAACATTCCAATTGTCTTGGTTGTGCTTTTGTTTGGAACAGTATATTACATCAACATTATTTTAAACAATGTATGCACATTTATTCTGTTTTGCAAATTTTTTTGTAACAAGTATTATTTTGGTAATAAACTGTTATGCTTTTTAAAATCAAATAGTTGTTTTATTAATTTTTTTCATTAACTCCATGATGAGTACATTCTTAAATATTGTGATGCATGTGGATTTTACATAGTTATATTATTTATAAATAATGTGCTTATATTCTTCAAGTTTGTCTTCTTGTAGTTGATTGTATATTTATGGGCAAACTTCAAACTTTACAGATGGCCAGTGACATATATTGACAAGCCTAGAATATTTTTTCCACATTCAGTGTAGAATTTCCTATTATAAAAACAAACATGGTGTCTAGTAGTAGTTCACACTCAATGTCTCCTGAATAATTGGAGTTATTCAACACAGTCAAATTATAAAAAGAAAATATTGCCTAGTTTATTAAAAAAAATATGAATTAGAAAAAAGAGATTAATTTTTTTTTAGGATAGGAAGCCACTGGTAAACCCACTCATCAAAGAGTTAAATAGGTTATTGTTTTTATAATGAAATATCTAATTTCTTTTAAAATCTTTAAATAACTTTTAAAATATTTTATTAATATATTTATTATAAATTGTTATACTGTTTTTCTATGTTATAAGTATTGTAACAATAAGTACAAAAAAGATTAGGCATAACTAAGTTATGATTACACATTTGAGAATGATAAGACAAAATTATTTAATGCGTTCATATTCGTAAACTTTAGATTTCTTTAATGTGTATTCTACTTCGTAATGAAATTTATACCTTAGCCGATTTTGTCAACTTCTTAATGAGAATAATCTTTAGAGGGAGCATTAAAATTAAAAAGAAACAACAGCTACGATTAATATCTGTTCAGGATAATACTTTATTGGGGAATTTCCTGAGTAGCAAGGGTTTGAGATTTTTACTCAAATTTCAGCATGAGATAGTAAATTAGTCAAGTTACTTAATATACATTTGAACTCTTAGGTAAAGCTCTTATTATAATATGACTTTGCATTTAGCATTAGATATACATAATACTGTAAGGTCTCGTTTTATGCGGTTGTTATATGTCAGTGGAACAAATGGAGTGAGCTTTGAGCGTCCCACGATTTTTGGAGACTGTCTATACGCGGGCTTCCTAAACAAGCCTATATGTATGTTTGTCCAGAAAAAATTTGGATGAAATACAAACCGCACAACTTCAAAATCGCATAAAAAAAATCCGCATAAAACGAGACCTTACAGTATATTTTCTATGCAAATGTTCAATTTACTCCACGAGAAATCGGATAAAGCAAACACCGGAAATCTTTTTATTTTACTTTTAAAAAATAGTTGTGTTTATTTTTATTGATTGTATGGCTATTCTTATACAACTAAATGATTCTTTACGTGAATTCAGATTCAGGTTTTAATATTGAAGATAAATCGAAAGTAAATTGTTACCAGTGCCACTTCAGCCATCAGCCGTGTGTCGACCGATGTTGCCGCTTCTAGAGACAAAATCCAACCTCCGGGCCGGAGGTTGGATTTTGGGAAGCGTATTTGAGTTATGTAATTGTTATTTATAATGCACATGAACGGAATTATCGGTGATTGGATGCGATGAAGCGACTCTTACTCCTTTGCATCTTTGCCCATACTGAACGAGATGATCCCATTTGTTTGAAAAGGAAGGAAAGAATGATCAGCACATCAACCCCTCTCAATGCGAAAAAGGTGATATCGTAGACTAAGAGAGACTTCTTTTCGGAACAGATCCGGAATAAGAAATGCCGAACAAAGGATGTTAACACGAGCTTCTTCCGACTCAGTCCTTGCAAGGAGAACCTCTTCTGCAATCGATGGAAGAGTCCTTCCCACTCGAAGAAGGAAAAACCTCTCTTCATCGACCACGAAGAAAAATGCTCTGAACGCTTCATCTTTTTAGAACTATACCGGCGCCAAAACCGCCAGGTCTTCGTTCTTTAAAGAAAAATATTAATGAAATTCAAGTACTGTACACTCATTTGCCTCCCCCAAAAAAATCGCGTACCATGAAGAAGTTGTCGCTTTGCAGCAAAACTTGGCATGCAAGTATGTCTGAAGCAGATGTTTTTATGACAAAAATACAGTATATGCATTTTGTAACATCGATTAAATATTATTTAATTAATTACAGCATTGTTTATTTTTTTTCATATTAAAATATTTAATCCATAAATAAGCTTTCCGTTATTTTCTACGCTGAAGTTGGTTTCCAAAATGGCGACCTTTTAAAAACCCGAAAGAAATCCATTTTAGATCGTAATTCAATCGAAAAACGGAAGCGGCGGTAGATTTAAAAGGAAATAACGAAAGTCCGAGTCGGCTGAAGTCTTTGCCGAAAGTTCGAGTAAATGGCACAATTGCAGATGTGAATGACTCTATTCGAACCTTAACAGAGCTGTAGAGCATGCGCATAGAAGCAAAAAAGTCAAAGGAACCATACCTCTACATGTGAGCCCATTTCCAGAGCTGATGTCGGGATTTCGGAGCATGGCGAATAGGCAGTAGTACTGCTTCAAAGTAAAAACTGTTTTCGGTCAGTAGAAGTTAATGCATTTATTACTTGTGTTAAAGGCAGGGCTTTGGAGTCGGAGTCGTGAAGTTTTGGTGTTTTAGCCGGAGTTGGAGTCGGATGGTAAGGAAGAGTCGGAGTCGGTAGATTTTTATGCGACTCCACAGCCCTGGTTAAAGGAAGTTGTCGCAGTGCGTAAAACAACTCGCTTATAAACATGACGCTCGCAAGCAAGACGGCGACCGGAAATTTCATCGTTGGGGTTCGCCATTTGCAGGTGAATATCTCGCAAAGGATCGCATGTCGGACTTTTCTTTATTCTTTACCGATAAAAATTGTTAGAATGTCTGACCACAGCACAGTATGTAAAGCTGGCAATCTGGAGGAAAAAATTCTAAATGCATTATTCTTCGTTTTTTTTTTTTGTAGTTTTTGCTAATAAAGTACAAATATGAGTAATTTTAGATGTTATTTAATATATTTAAAGAAAATTAAAATTATTTAGGCAAATAAATAAGAATCTGCAAAACTTGCAATTGTTATATGACTAAAAATAAGTACACTAACAGATATTTATATTTAGTATTGTGTTTAATTTTAATAAAATCTCAATCCTGAAAAATAAAAAGGACATTCTACGCAAGCAAAAACGAAAAATAATCATAAGTGTAAAGCAGAATACAAAAATATTTAATCAGAATCAATAATGACACTACACTCATCTAATGAGTCGACTGAATTCTCTCCTTGTTCTGATAATTTTTTTTTATTCTCTAATAAATTTAATATTTCAGGATTTATTTTTAATGATTTTATATAAGATAAATGGCTAGCTGGCTAAATATGAATCTGAGGTGGCGAGAAATCTGAATTTGTATTTCTCGATGTTTTCCTTGTAAATAGTTCAATAAACTGTCTATTATGTTCGTTTCTCGCCTCTTGGACTTGTTCCGAGTATTGCCCAATTGGGAGAATGCAAACTTCAATAATATCCTTTCCGTGAAAAATAATTTTATGAAGGCTCACAAGTATTAGATACCATGCACAGTATTGGAGTGTAAGAATTTAAGAATTTTGTTGTGGTTATCATTGTACTGTACATATACATGTTAAGAACTTCTTCGATTTCTTTTTGTGTTTGTGTTTCTTATTTGTGTTGCCTTATTTATTATTTTTTGTATGTACGTTTCAAACGTATTCCTTTTAATATACATTGGTATTTCTGATTTAAAATTAATAAACTAACCAAACGACGACTAAGACCTGACTTTTCAAAATAATTTTTTAAAAATGTAATCACTTCTTAAAGATTGGCTGCACACAATACTTCTTAAAGCAAAAAATAAAAATAGATTTAATGGTAACGATGGTAATAATAATAAACAAATAAAATATGTAAAATTAAGATATGAGAAAAATCTTTTTGAAAAAATAAAACAAGTACTTAAAAGTTATAATATCGTAGTAACACCCGAACAAATAAATAATATTAAAACACATATAAATTATAATGAAAAACAAAAAAGTGGGGTGTGGCTGTGTCGGGGATACGGTCGTGTGTTTTACGTGAATACGTGTGCGTACGTTATTATATGTATGTCATAATTATTCCTTAACAGTAAGAAGTCCAACGGTCTTGTGAGACATTAACATTAACGTCTCCGACGATCATGATTGGTATAGTGAGATCTGGTTCGTATTCGTGTATAATCTTAATGATGTTTTTTACGTTCCCGGCACCGCTTCACTCTATCATATGGTGTTTCATGGGTATCACTAGATTGCTCTTGAGAAGCCCTTTCCAACCGACATTGTATTAAGTTTTCTTAATTTTTAACTTTAACACCATATATATTCACTATTCTACACTAATGTTTTGTGTACGCAATCGATAAATATTGACGAGAGTTATAAATTGAAACTCAAACGAGCGTCATAGCTTCTCCGAGTAAAAATGTATACTAAACGGAAAGTATGTGACGCTGCAAAACGACCTCAAAATGGCGGTGCTTCCTCCTCCGCCGCGCGCGATGCGTCACAGTCCCACTCAACGCAATGAATTCTTTGATCCTTTAACTATCGAGTGGTGTAATTATTAGATGTAGATGATAGATATGTAACTGCAATGCCAAACTGTATCCCCCGATTTTGTTATCATCAGTTTTCAGTTTTCTGAATTGCCTCCCACTACGGAAGCAAATTTAAAGACGTATTCACGTCAAAATAGAACAAAACGTTTGGGTTACTAAAAATGCCGTTTATAAATTTCAATGCAGTTGTGAGCAAAATAATATATATAGGGAAAGCAGGTTGAGAACTAGGAACAAGGTTTATAGAGCATATCACACCACAACAATTAAAAATAATTAATATAACAATTAAAAATAATAATTATACATCAGCAGTAGCCTACCACTGTAATAGCCAAAGTTGTAAAATTAAAAAAAAATACATTAAAAATAATTAAAAAGGAATCTAATACATTTAAAAGAAAATTTCATAAACATTTTAAAATAATTTTAAAATACTGTAATGATATGCAATTACACCCCTCTCAGTGTCAATTTTTAGCCAACAGAGGAACTACAATAATGTTTAAGTACCCTGTAAAAGTGAGGTAAAAGTTCTTCGTTTTGTATTTTATTTATACTTTAAATGTGTGCTTATCTTATGGGGTCAATCTTTACCTATGTGCACCATCATGGCCGCACAGTGGAGACCCACGTTCTAACCTCCACTGTGAACGTGGGTCTCCACTGTGTGGCCATGATGGTGCACATAGGTAAAGATTAGCCTCTTATCGTATATGTCTTGTTGATTTTTATAATGTATTTGAAGATTTGAAAGCGAAATGCTGTTTGGTTTGGTTTGTGCACTAAATGTAAATTTATCTTATTTCTTATATTTTAATAATGTTGTTGTTAAAATCGGGAATTTATTTGTACCTTTTTTTGTACAGTTTAATATAGTAACAACTGACAATATGAGTCCGAAATGCATTTTGTTAAAGGTACTTAAACTCTCCTTTTTTACTCTTTTTTTAACCTAAAGAAGTCGTTGTGATAAGTTTGAGAAAAACAGCACTATTGGGTAGCTGAAATAATAATTTTATAAAAATTATTACCAATTAGAAGAAACTGAATGTCAAAATAAACATTTTGTTTTTTTCAACATTTTTGCAATCATATAATAATACAGTATACAGGCATACCTCGACTTACGTCGTTTCGAGTTACGTCGTTCACGATTATACGTCGTTTGTCAAAAAAGTATATGGAAAAATAAAAATCAAGTTTAAGTCATTTTATTCGACTTTACGTCTGTCCGCCACAAATGTTGAAGTCGTAATATCACTATAAAAACGTTTAAAGCACATAGAATCATATTAAAATATATACTAGTATGTTCTGTATTTACAGTACAGTACATGCATTCGTAAATTTAGAATACTTTTTTCTGTACTATATTAAAAACTAAAATTTATTTGTTTGTAAGCTTAAAATAGATTTTTATTAACCATATATTATTAAAAATGCATTAATAAATAAAATACAGAACCGGGAATGGAAATTTATGGTTTAGCCTAGTGACAAGTAGATTCGGAGACAAGTAAATTCGACTTACGTCGTTCTCCTGGAACCAATTACCGACGTAAGGCGAGGTATACCTGTANAGAACCGGGAATGGAAATTTATGGTTTAGCCTAGTGACAAGTAGATTCGGAGACAAGTAAATTCGACTTACGTCGTTCTCCTGGAACCAATTACCGACGTAAGGCGAGGTATACCTGTATATATTATATTAACTATGTATTGAACTGTATATTCCCTATTACTGTACGTATATTGTCATCATTATATTTCCTATTAAAATTACCAAGATCTGGTATTTGCCAAATTCCATTCGATGAGAAACCGCGAGTTCATTATGAAGTAGGGGAAAAAAAGAAAAACAAACATTGGAAAAGAAATCCTACGAAGATCTTTCCCACTTGAAAAAATTAAAAGATAAATTGAATGGACATATTAAAAGAGGTATTTAGGAGTGTGATAATTGATCATGATTATGCATCTGCAGATGTATTAGAATGCATAATAGATTATGTTGCAACAAAATTAAAAAATTTTACAGGTTGGGAAGTTTGTATTAGGGCATTGACCAGTAGCGTAGCGTGGGTGTCAGCCGCCCAGGGCGGAGGAAAATTTCGCCGCCCCCTTATTTAGGTATCTAATTTAAAAGATTAAAATTCAGTTTCGTCACAGAATAAGTAATGAAAAATTCCATGCTCAGTAATGTCTTTTACATTTTCAGATTATAAGAAACAAGTGAAAATTAATAATTTACAATTATTGGAATTAATTTTTTTTAATTCTAATACCTTGTAAAGGGCATTGGAATTTCTTTTCAAATAAAATAATGAAATAATTTTAAAAAAAATAAAGCTTATATATGTATTTATAATTGTCGATAATATTCTACTAAAATTATATTATTATTTATGAATTTATTTTTAAAATTACATGTACATTTGAATCATTTTAGATTTATGCAAACTAAAAGCCAGGTGTCGCTATAGTAGACAATATGGCGAGTCGTTTGTTATATTTTTGTCGAAATAGTGGTTGTAATAATGTTAATCTTCTTCTTATTTCGACAAGAACGTACGCTAAGAAACTTCCTGTCGGTAAGCCAGATAAATATTTTAAAAAATTATAAAATAAATATTCGGCTAGTTGATGTAAATAATTGAAAATAAACATCTAGCTCAGCTTGTGACATCTGAACCTAAGAAAAAGAAAAGATTCCCCGTGGAAACGGATCCAGAAAAGTTAGTTAATTACGTATGTGGAAGCAACATTTATAAAGAAGGAGAAGATATAAAACTGAGCCCAGATTCTGAATATCCCGAATGGATTTGGAAGATGAATTTAGGTGAAGACCCGGAATTGGATGAACTTGATCCCAATACTCTTGAATATTGGGAGAAACTGCATAAAGTCAGCTTAGCCAGACAGAACAGATTACTAAAAATGCAGAGATTACCTAGGTTACACGTGGGTGAAATTGAATTGAAAAAATTGAAGAAATTAAAAGAACTGCGGTTTAGAGCTTTGGCTGGTATACATTATGATCCCGGAGAGATTATTAATGAAAAAATATAGTTTCGTTATTAAAAAGTCTTGTTTATTACGAATTAGTCTAGTAATAGCCTTTATTTGTGTGTTTACTGTATGGAATTTCCATAATTTTTTTAATTATTATACGGGGTCACCCAAAAGTCTCTATGTTGACAGAAATCAAGCCCACCAGTGGCTGAATAAATAAAACCATTGAACACTGGTAGTTGGTCATTTGTTTGTGACTGACTAATGGGCTGGCCACCATGCAGTGTTCTGGGTTTTCTTTGTGTTTCTAACACCTAAACAGAATCCAGTTTCCACGTAGGAAGTCCTGCTAGAAGTTACCCCATTGGCAGATCACCCATGAGTTCCGTTGCCTTAGGGTGCAACTATGCAGATGCAAGCGAGCAAGAAAAGGTGACGATGTTTCGTGCTCTTGTTTATTACGACTGCACAGACAAGAGCTTGAAATGTCATTGTCTCTTGCCACATATTCTCACTCGCTTGCATCTGCATAGTAGCACCCTTACTCTGTCAATCCACTGACACAAATCTTAATGCTGACATTTAATGTTTTGTGAATAAAATTACATTTCACCTTTGTATGTATGGAAACTTTTGGGACATCCTGTATTTAAACATGACTGTTTCTACATTTACAAATTGTAGAAATACATATTATAAACTATTTTCTAAATATACAAATATTAGGAAAATAAATTCCAAGAAATATACTTAAAAATTTGTAAATTAATTAATACATGGAATACAACTGAGTCAAAAAATTGTCATAATCTTACAATTCCAGTCTTTTTTAACTTTCAATGTTAAAATTATAAAATTTTAAGTCATATCTGCTAATAATTTGCTGTTTGACTATTGGCAAGTGCCAAATCCGACAGAGGGCGCTGTTTTTGAGCCAAGATGGCTGCCAAAATGGGTAAGCAACCAACCACGTGTTTGTTCAGTGCTTGAGCTGATTCAGTTTCTATCGGTGATAACGTGGTCAGCTCCTTACCTGTTTCAGTAGCCATCTTGGCTCAAAAACAGCGCCCTCTGTCAGATTTGGCGCTTGCCAATACTTCTAAAAAAAAGTGTGAAAATGCTAAGTAGTCTTTAAAAAATTCATCATGTAAAGAAATTCAAAACATTCTAATAATTATTTTAAATATTATAATATTGTTACACAGATGTATTGTTTAAGATGTTCACTTTGTCACTTTGTTGTAAAAGTTTGTGATTTACATTGCAATGGGAAGCAAGATAACTTATCTCCTGTAATGAGAAAACTGATACGAATTTTATGAAATGAAGTTAAATCTTGATTAGAAATTGCCAAAATCATTAACTATTTACAATATACAGTATCAAAAATCTTAAAAACAAATGAATTCAGAAAAAAAAAAAATAATTGTTAAAATTGTGGAAGAAAATTTTCAAAAAGTTTGAGAGATAAACATGAATTGAAGGCAACTGTTCAAAAAGTTTGAGAGATAAACATGAAATGAAGGCAACTGTAAGAAAAAAAATTGTTTTAGATCAAATAGGTATTATCATTCTGCATGAAAAAAGGAGAATGTAAATGTGTCCCACAGTATAGAAGTTCAGACTTCATGAAATTAACTTGTTTTAAAACATAAACCATTCCTCTCTAGAAACAAAGATTAAAACTATGTATATCTGTGCAGATAAGACAATAGTTGAATCATAAAAAAAAGACCCCAAAATCTGGGGTCATCTTGTAGGACAGATTGAAATTTATATAAATTAAAACCATTATAAAAAAATTGACAAATCATAATTCATAATCATAATTATTTAGTAGTAGAGTAGGGTATGTCCACAAAATAGAATAGTCCATATGACATTTTTGTGAATAGTCAAGGTCATTACCCGAATGCACGAATCAGTGTGAATGCTTGCAGCAATTGCAAGGCAGTGCTGCCAGAAGATAATAAAATTCGTTCATTCGAAAAATTACAAATAGAACATAATTCCGTATATGCTATACAGTATTATTATCCAGATGATAATTGCTGATCTAAACTAAATTCATAGGCCATTGATAGTTTGGGGTTTGTCTTATAGGACAGATATATGCTAAAACTATAAAACTTTAATGAAAATTTATACCTCATCTTATCTGCGCAGATATACAGTACTTCAGTGGTTTAAACATTATATTAATTGGATCTCTGAAGATTGGAATAAAATTATTTTTAGTGACAAGGTTTTTGTATATCTTATGGTGATCAGGGTATACATTTGTGGAGAACCAAAGAAGCAGCCTTTCATCCATCCACACTAAAGTAATGTGTCAAATATCCAGGTTATGTAACATGAGGTGCATGTCTGCACCTCATGTTACATAACTAGGTGATAACTATTAAAGGTAAATTCCTCAGGTATCAACAGTTGCTAGAATACTTCTTGTTCCTTCAATGGAAGAACTTTATTAGATGAGAATGTTATTTTCCAATAGATCTTGCACCAGCTCCTGCAATGAAGTCAATCCAAACTTTGTTTACAGACAATATCAATTTACCAGACTTAAATCTTATAATCTATGAAGGATTATGAAACAAAGATTGATGGAAGATAAAGCTTCAATATTAAGAAAGTTTGAAAAAATTTGGTCCAAGATAATTAAGAGAGTTTGAAAAAATTTGGTCCAGGTCCAATTATACCTAGTGATTATCAGAAATTGATTCAATGCCATGAAGAATCATGATATAATTAAAAACAAAGGTTATCCAACTAAGTATTAAGTGAATTTTCAAGTATCTTTTATAAAATATTAATACAATATGAATTATTCTGAAATAAACATATATATAACATTTTTTTTTTTTTTGAATTTCTTAAAATAATGAATTTTTAAAAACTATCAAGCAGTTCACATTTTTCTTAGAAATACAAATAACAGGTTAATTAGATATTTAACAAATTATTAGCAGATGTAACTTAAAATTTTATAATTACTTTCCCGGCTCTGTTATGTATAACACGGAAAGTATGGCAATTGGTCAAAAAAGTGACACTAAAGATTTTTGGACTCAGGACCTTGAAATGTCATGAAATGAAAAATATTCAGATTTTTTTCTGTATGTATGGATGTTAGTGTGTAGGGAGCACAATTTTATTCATCCTCTTTGAAGCTTAATAACTCCTGTGCTTTTTGTCAAAAATTTCTGAAATTTTACTGGGAGGTTTGTGTATTAGGGGGATTGATGCTATTAAATTTTGGTGGTTAAAGATCAACAGGTGGGGAGATAAAAGGTGTCATATCTCGAGTAGGATCAGACTTAATGACGATTTTACTCATTATTAGCATTTACAATTTTTTTAAAATCATCCCTACCCTCAAAATTAAGTTTTTTTTGCCATTTTATAATAAAAATATAAGTTTTTTAAAATAAATTATGATAACAGGTGATATCACACTTGTTGCATGAAATTTAAGCAACTTGTTACTGGATTTTTTTAACATTAAAAGTTAATCTTACAATTCTAGTCTTTTCTATGACAATTTTTTGACTCAGAGTTGTATATTGCAAGTAGAATATGAAATCAATTTAGGTCAAGGAAAATAAAATTAGCAATTTGTTTTTTATTTTGGGGTTTTAATTATTTTTCTGTTTTGAGCTCTCATAATAAAGAAAAAACTGCTTAATTCTTAACATTAAAGTATATGTACTTTGAACATAAATTGAAGTTAACAGTTCAATATTATTTATTAGAATACTTTTTCAATGATTAAGTTCAATGTATCAGATATTACAATTACTTTTTTGTCAATGAGTATATAAGGGAGTACAGTGTTTGTTGTCACTGCCTGATACCAAGTTTTCCAGGAAACCAAACTCAAAAAGAGTTTGCGGGTATAAACCACATTTGTGAATGCAAAGGACTCAGAATCATAACACCTTTACAAATTCCCATTTATTGTTACAAAAAGTTCTCGCTTACATATTTAATTTTTATTCTTCTGCTCCTGTTGAACGTCCCACGAAGATGTTCTTTGGTTTCAGATCAACAGTCTGTAAGTCCTATACGATGTCCAGATGATGCTGGGCCCAGGATGATGATGCTGATGAGGCAGGCAAAGGAGTCACTTAATTCTTGTATTGTCAGACACTTTGTTCTTGTGTATGCTTACTAGGGTAGCTCCAGAGTTTCCAAACAATGAAGTTGAGCATTGAAGTGAATCTGCAAAGTTGACTGGAAGTTGTTGAGTCAGAGAAGTGAACCATGACCTTGATATATGAGTTTATATAGAATATCTGCAGACCGAACAATTTAATTGGTCCCGAATCCTTCTCTTTCCTCCCCAATTGGTTCCCTTTTTGTCTCCAAGTAGAACTAGACCTGATCGGAGCACAAGTGAGGTCAAGCCACAATGTTAACCTGCCACCACATTCGATCTCAAATGGCAGGATGTTTAAACAAACCTGATGATGGCCTGTGGAGCAGTTTGAAAACAGTCATTGAGGTAATAAATACTTTCTCAGTGATTTAAGGTGTTATTGTATTGATTGCAATCTCATATCTGAGTGTTTTAGAATGTTAATTTTAAGAACAATTCAAATTAAAAAACAACTCATATTATTGATGTAAAATATCATAATTTAAAATTGAATTGAGTAGAAATTCAGAAATTTTCAAAATTGAAAATTTTTTAAAACTTTGAACTAAGCCAAGAATAAGAAATATAACATTTAGACTGGTAAAGAAAAAAGTTGCTTATTTTGCCATGTTGATTAATTTATTATTTTTCATCTCTGTTATAAACTGAATTACTCCTTACAAAAAAAAATCACTTCTATTAAGTTAGCATTATATATGCATTCAGTAGAGTTAGCATTATATTACATTCAGTAGAGCATTATAAATGCTCTACTGAAATTTGGTTGGTGATAATGATGCTGTGACAATCAATGCTGTATCTTGGATAATGTCTGGACAGTGCAGTATTGTCGATTTAACATCCAAACTTGAAGAGTGGTCAATATGATTTATTTTTTCCAGTGCATAGTAAATATCATCTTAATATTTTGTAAGATTTCCTTTTCTGTCTGTACTCATATTGGAACTCAAAGTTAATTTTGAGGGTAGAGACAAGTTTTGTAAAAAAAAAGAAAAAACTAACAGATGAGCCATATGTTGCTCTGGCAAAAAGTAACAATAACGAAAATTAAGATTATTAGATTATAGCCAATCTTGCCTGTTTTCACTGGGTGCAAGAGTTAGGTCCCCCCCTCTTCTGAGACTAATTAGAGAATTTTTAGATGGGTATAAATGTATGTTTGATTTTTCACAAAAACGCAAAAAACCGCATCTAAAATAGTACAGTAGAAATGGAGTTCTTCAGCGTAATCCTTAACCCTCTCTCCTGAGAGAAGAATTTTGAAAAATCCCTTCTTTTAGTGTACAGTACATTCTTATGGCATATCCTATGTACCAAATTTCAACTTTCAACTCCTAACCATTTAAACTCTGAGATTATTATTATTATTAACCCACATCTCAATTATATTATAAGATTGTGAATGCTAATGAGTAAAATATTAAGTCCAACCACACTGGAGATATGACACATGACCCCTTCTATGTCTCTACCCTATCAACCTTTAATTAAGAACTAAGATTTAATAGCATTAATTCCCTTTATACACATGCTACTGTGCCAAATTTTGTTTCTTAAACTTTATTCATTATGAAATATTGTTTAATATTTCAAACAGAATAAAGAAATTAAACAAATTAGATGCCAACATATGCATGCACGAATTCTTTCCTTTATTTGACATTTTTTGGGTTTGAGATATCTCTAAACATATAGATTTGCAAAAAACTCGGAGAGTCAAATGTGACACAATTCAAATACTTTTTTGTTTTTTATATACATAACAAGTTGGGAAAGTAAAAAGGAGTTGGGGGATTTTTGACAACTCTGACTCCACAGCCCTGGTTATAAGCAAACTAGAAAAGCCAGGCTATTGAAGTGATTCAGAGAAAAAGCCAACAGGCTAGAGTCTCCATATTAATAAGACGAAAGAAAGAAAGAAAGGCTATTGAAATTTTTTTTTCAGTTAGTAGAGGTCTGAAAGTTGTACAGTAGTATGAACTTTTAGAATTACATCTCTATTAATTTTTTCTGTATTGTGCTCACAATACTTTTAACTATTCTATTAGACACCTTCACTCCCTTCAAAATTACAATTTAATTAATTTTTTTAAACATTAACTATTAATACTATTAAACTTGAAGGCTAAACTGATGTATTTTAAGAAACCTGATAACTAAACAAAACTGAATTAATTAGCAAAATATTATATGTATATATACTGTATATTGTAATAATTTTGATTTTATAATTGTCAATAATAAAGCAAGAAAAACAGTATCCTTAATTAATTTGAAAATCATTTATAAGAAAGATACCGTACATATTTTTTGTTAATAGACTATGAGTAAATATTGTTACTAAATATCTTTATTTAATAATAGAAACAGATGAATTAAATTACATAATTATAAATGACAGTTTGATAATTTAATTTTATCAAATCTTGAAATCCTAAATATATGTTTTAATTATGAATAACAAAAGTTAATAATAATGTAAAATGAGCAATCAAGATACATGATGACTAGTGAAATTTGCTGTTAGACAATGACCATGTGAGTTAAACTCTGGTAATCAAATTGAATGATTTTATAATCGGACTTATGTTTAAATATAGAAAGCTATCTAAGATATAAGTTTTCATCATTTTTATTTAGTAATTTAAATTTGTAACAGATATAACAGATTAATTATTTTTGTTTTAACACTAGAATGATTCTATGGTTCATAAAAGTTAATATCATTCATATTAACAATAACTTTATCTTCTACTTATAGCCTATTAACAGGAAATACAGTACAGGCGACCCCCTATAACACTGTTGATAATTCCGTTTTATATGAATTCCATGTTGTACGAGTCACTTAGATTTTACAAATACGTGAGCCGTTCACAGCCCAGCACACGTATTTGTAAAATCTAAGTGACTCGTACAACATGGAATTCATATAAAATGAAATTATCAAGTGTTATAGGGGGTCGACTGTATGTACTGTACCTATCTTACATACTTGAAAACATTTATTTATAAGGAATGTATATATATATAAAATTTTATCTAGTTAAATAATATAGTCTTTCTGCCTGTTACCGCCAAGGATGCTATGGACACTTTTTAAGAGTCAGCTATCTGGTCCATAATCTGTTTCTTACTAGCTCAACAGATAGCAGTACTAGTAGTTAGTGGACACTGCTCGATATAGGACCTGCTGAAAGAAAGTGATGTCAAGCACTGCTGGATGTTGGACTGGAAATGGCATTTTATATTGCAATCCTTGCTCAACAAAGGGTTAAGACCTTTGCTTCAGACCTAGAAGCTCAAGTATTGTATTTGTTCCTGGGACCTATAAGTAATGTGTGTTCCACAACTCTATCTGACAATGTCTAAAGTAAGTCATTTCCATTGTCAAATGGACCAGTGGTCCTCACCTGATAGTCATCAGATAGTTTATACAGTTTAAACATATCTATATCTATTTGATGTTTGTAAGATCTATCTAAACTTTTTAAATGAAAAGTCTAAATGAGAGAATAATTATAATTTACAAATTCTTAAGCTTGTGATAAACTTTCTTAGTACTTGTTCAAGCTTGTTCTTTGACACATATTTAGTTGCACAAAATGATACAGAAATATGTAATAAGAGAACATTTTGAATTGTATATAGTTTTGGATGCAATTTTTGTTTCTAATTAACTGAAAACAAAATTAGATTTAAAACATTTTGTACATTATTTTGAAATGAAATACAATTGTATGCATGAAAAATTAATTAATTGTGACCATTTTTTATTATACACATATGCAATTTTACAGAATATATTATATTTAAAATTATATATCGTCATCACTGCTTAGTCCTTCAATCTCTTCGTTGTCCTTCCCAAGAGCTTTCCAAAATGCTATTGCTACCTATATTTTTAATTGATAAAAGCATATTTGCCTATTAATAATCAAATAAATCATAAGTTGTTAACATTGCAATTGTACAGTACACTTACCTTTTCAGCATATCTTTTCCTCTCATCTCCAGTCAAACTAGATGCTTTTTCTATTAAGAATATATTAAATCATCAAAAAAGTTAGAATTAAAATTTAAACAAAAACTCATTTATTATTTTTTAAAACGTTGCATTAATAATCTGTTTCTTAACAATACATTACTTTACAAATATCTACGTATATTTGGTTTTTAGATTAGAATTCATATTCTTAAAAAAACTATAATATAAAATTGTTATTATTCAGATTTTTCAGTATTTACTTTAAGTGTTTTATACATTTTTATATACAGGAACTATTCTTAAGGTTTATTTGGTTATGGCAGTATGACACAGCACCTCTCAGGAAAACTTTCTATAGGAAATTGGCCCCTATTTAGGTGTTAGAAACATGAAGAAAACTATGACCAGTTCATTGTTAAGCATAAACCCACGACCAACTACTAGCATTCCGTGGTTTTATCTGGTTGGCCACTAGTGTTCCTTTTTTTTCACTTAATCACTTTTGATATATGATTTTTATTATTTTAGATTAACACTGCAAGAAATTTACAATAATAATTGATTGACATTATGCTATTTGCAAAAAAGGTTGACAACCAAACAAAAGTCATTTAATAGAAACCAAAGTATGAGGTCTGTTCAAAAAATATGCAGACTGTTTGAATTGCACAGCTCCAGTTGATTCCAGGGGAATCTGCTAGGTTTGTACAGATCGTCTGGTGATAAAGATATCTGTAATTGGGAAATGGCTTTATTTGTTGATTAGCTACCCAGTTTTTAATGAAATGTGATTTTTTCGTTTGTCGGATTTCAGAATGAATGACCTGATGGAGCAACAACTTGCTGTGAAATTTTGTGTTAAACTTGGAAAATCTGCAACTGAAACATTTGCTATGCTCAACATGACTTATGTTGCTATGAAGCATACGGCATGTTTCAAGTTCAATCCAATGTCAAGGTGATGCTGACAGTTTTCTTTGATGCTAAGGGTGTTGTTCACCACGAGTATCTCCCCCAACGCCCCACAGTGAACCAGACTTACTACATTAAAGTTCTGAAATGTCTGAGGGATGCCATTCGTCGCAAAAGGCCAGAAATGTGGCGGAGTGGTGACTGGTTTCTCTATCACGACTATGCTCCAGCCCATTCAGCCCTCAAAACTCGTGAGTTTTTGGCCAAACACTCAATCACGGTTCTTCCCCACCCACCCTTACTCACCTGGCCTTGCTCCTTGTGACTTTTTCTTGTTCCCCAAACTCAAAAGACCCTTGAAAGGAAGAAGATTTGAGACAATTCTCAAGATTAAGGCAAATGCAATGAAGGTGCTGAAGGACATTACAAAAGAAGCATACCAGGACTGTTTCAATAAGTGAAAACACCGTTGGGTGCATTGGGAAGGAGAGTACTTTGAAGGGGACCCAGACATGTAACTTCTACATAAAGTACATTTTGTTTTATGACATCAGTCTGCATATTTTTTGAACAGACCACGTACCAAAGTTTTATTTTAAAGTGCAAATGTAATATAATGGTGATGCCAAAAATGTTGAAAGTCACCTGATATGACTAACAATTTTCAAATTCAAACATGTCTACGAATGGTATCACTATATGTATAATAATTATTTTTTAAAATACCTAAAATTTTATATATCCCACAATTTTATGCCAATTTCAACAGTGAACAAATTGATGTTTCATGATATGCAGAGATGACACCAAGGTATTTTGCACCCTAGGCAAGGTTTACAAGTGCGTCCCTTATTTCACAAGCTATATGTACAGGTAACCCCCGTATAACACGGTAGTTACGTTCCAAAAAATTGCCGTTGTTATGCGAATCAAAGAACTAGTACGAAAAGGAGGGTTAGGTTCCAAAAATTAAAAAACATGCTACTATATTTTCATAATTAAGATAAATATCTTTATTAAAATTTTCTTAAGTGATACATATTAATATAAATTAAACAATGTTTTCTTTGTCATCACTAAAAGCACTATTAACCGAGAGCGTTTTATTTTTGGCAAGTTATCGTTATCCTCTGAGCATTTTTCTGCATTATTTTCAGATTCATGCTTTACCTTTTGCAAAAGGTATGTAATTTTAAATTGCTTGCTTCTAGTTAAAAGATCTTTATAAATTTCCTTATATGGTGCTAAGCACTTATGGAATAAGGGAAAAACATCTGGCAACACCAGAAGCAGAAGCATTGAGATATGGCAAAATTGAAACAATTTTCGCAAAGGACTATGTCTTTGGAGAAGAGAAAATTTACACATTGAAGTACTAATAGTTCACGAAAATAATAATTTTTGTGAACTATTAGTACTTAAGTGTGTAAAAATTTATTACATTTCATATTGTACGAGGGTTTTACCCATTTCTCGAACCGTGTCAGAGCGGATCCATGTTATAAAAGTACCATGTTATACGGGGGATGGTACCAATTCTCGAACCGTGTTAGAGTGAATCCGTGCTATAGAAGTGCCGTGCTATACGGGGGTTACCTGTATATTTAAAATTTCATTTTAAAAAAACTTTGTATAATATATGAAAATCAAATTTTAATTTTTCTTGCCTTCAATTTTGCAAATTTTTCTACCAGTTAAAGGAACTGGTAGAAAAATTTGTATTAATCTAGTGTAGAAGCTAGCTTGTGTTTGATTGATATTGTTACCAAATCAGTTAACCTGTTTTGGGACACCATTGAGCACAAGTATGTTTTAACTTTGAGAAACTACATTCTCCACTTTTGTTACTGAAACTGGAAGTGTCAGAGAATTCTTAGTGCAACAAAAACATCGGGTATGCAGTTGACAAGCTTTTGCTTTACTATAAAAAATAGTACTTCTTTTGATGGCATGGATTTTGGAAGTCTTTGAGCTATTGCTTGAAGTTCATTGTGGCAGTCCTTGGCATCAATATCTTTAGTAGCATTATGAGTCAAAACATTTTCAAGATTTTTGCAATTGTTTAGTATATCAGTAGTTGTTTTTTCAGTTATGTTATATATATCATAAAGAAATTCAAATAGAACATTATGCTGCTGTAGTTTTTCAAACCTCTCTTGGATATGACTATACAGTCAATTGAAGTCACAATAGAAAAATTCTATTTTGAATTTCTGCTGAGGATTTTGCAAAGCCTCATCTTGACATTCATATTCATACTGTTGACTTTGTTTTATTTTTCTGTTTCTTTGTATTTCAAAATTTGGTTGAATCTCCAGTTCTTTTGCAATTTCAACAGAATCTGTCAAAATTTTTTCAAAACCCTTATCAGTTCTACATTCTAGAAAGTATTCTTTGGTTACTTATAGTTGCTTCATAGCCGAATTTAAATCATCCACTTTTCTCTATTATTTTACTTGAAATATTTACCTCAAAAGATGTTGTACCACACGGCAAGGGATACATTGAACTAACAAATTCCTTGTTTTGTCGCATTTAAATACTTTTTAAATACCAACAACATATATATTATCCTGTTTTTTGTGCCAACCACCTGCGGCACAGGTGCATAGTCCGCAGGATTAAAATATTGCTAGAACCAAACTTAAATTTACAAATAGAATCAGCAAGGACTTTTGCTTCATGTTGGGTAGTACTTTCAGTTGAATTATTTAATCTTGGGTCATCAAAAATTTGCACGAGTGCATCATATATAATGATAAGACAGTACCTTAGTGGTTTTAAAGTGTCAATACCTGTCCCATCTTGTCATTCAAGAGTTTAATAGTCAAGTCTGAGATACAAGTAGAAAGAATTTGCCAACAATGAGTAGATACAGAGAAAATTATAAATCTGTTGAATGAAAGTAAAGAAGCTGGTTGCATCTAAACAACACCTGGAAGCATCATTGACCACTAAATTTAAAGAGTAGGAACTACAAGGAATAAAGAAGGCCCAAGGATTTATATCTAAAATTCTCTTTTGAACACCATTTCTTTGCTCTTCATTCCATTATCATATCTTTGACCACAGAGATTCTCAATCAGTCATTCCAGTTGCCTTAAATTTTCAATTAAAGTTTCTGTCATGAATGAACCTGTAGTTTCCTCTAGAAGAACAAATCATAAAAAAATGCACTCTTACTATTACCTCAGATCTGAACATCTCACTATCTGATGGAATGATAATATCAACAAAATTACAATATGGCTAATGTCTGGAGTGCAATCCAAGATGACTGAATATTTTGCCAATTTTACAAGTGATAAGATGTCATCTTTTATAGCTTTTGACAAGATTTGTGTAAGTTCATTTTGAATAGCTTTTCCTAATAGGTCACTCTTTCTTGGCTGTTGGCTCTATGTACATGTTCTTTCATACAGGATCAAAAAGAGTTACATATTCAACAAACTTCAAAAAATTACTGCTACTGGCAGTAAAGAACTTTTCATTAGTATTGTGAGATGCAAGATTTTGTGCGCCAAGTACTTTAACTAAAGCAATCAAACGTTCCAATATTTGATTCCAGTATTGTTGTTCTTTGATTGTTTGCTGACTGAAATTATCAAGAGTTGTTTCTGTGATTAATTGCAATTCAAGTTCTTTCCAAGTTTGATAGTTTTCTAAATGAGCAGTACTCCTCTCATGTCAAGAAAGGATTACTCCAATATTTTTGTAGAGTTGATGTAGTTTTTTCACAGAATAGTTCACAGCAAAAACAAAAAACTTCCATCTTTTCATACTGAATATATTAACCATTGACTGTACACTACTTCATTGTTCGTAGCATCCTCTTGTAGTGTAAAGAGAAAAATATTTTTTTGTGAATCTTTGGGATACCAAAGATTAACAAAAAATATGACACAATCTGTTGTAGTCCAGTTTGTACTAAGATTTGTCAAAAATTATCATTAAGATAAGACCAATCCACAGGATCACTGTAATTTAATACAGGAATAGTAGTATCTTCTGATTTGTCTTTGATATCTTCATAAGAGTTTATTTATAAAAGTATAAAGTCACAAATGTATTATTAATTAATTTATAATTAATTTGTTAAAAATTTTTAAAACATTTTTTAATAATTGATTATCCAAAATAAAATGAACTCACCTGATTCAATTGCTCAATACTTGGAACAACTTATGGAGATATTGAAACATGTTACACCTTACACGTTTGTCTTTCGTAAATTCACTAGAATATTTGTATGTGGTTCAACCCACCTTAAGCTGTCTCCTCTACTCTAATCTGAATCATATATACTTTGTCAGAAAGATCCCTTAATGGCTTCTCAGTCCAGTTTTCTTTCTTTGTCCTTTATTTACAAACATTTACACAAAAACATCGTGTCCAGTTGCACCTCGTTTTGGTTGGTCAGTATGACTCCCTTTTACGTGATTCCTCTGATCACATATCAGACTGGCCAATCCAAGGGAAGATCAGTAGCCTTCAGATTTGCTCACTTCCAGAACTCTGACTCAGGTCTTCATCTGTTATGAATAGACTATGTCTCCTCCAGTAAAACTGACTCAGTCAAGCAGATGGATAAATCTCTGTTTCTATCAAAGACTCTAAGCCTTCTTCACAATTCTGAACAATTATTTTTAAAAGATATTTGAAACAACATAAGATATTTTTTATTTATGTTGTTCCAGGTGCCTACTAACCTAACTTTGGGCTGGCCATGTTGCCACATGCCAGATGACATTGTCCCCTTTTTTCCACATTGTTTGGAAAATGCCCACTAAATCCCCACAAAAACTGAAATGGTTCTAATTGACACTAAATAGCAGCAAGTTCAAATCATTTAGCCCACCAGTGGCTGAGTGGATAAAACCACTGAACACTGATAGTTGGTTGTAGGTTCACGCCTTGCCAATGAGCTAGTCACATGGAGTTTTTGGGTTTTTTCATATTTGTAACACCTAAATAGGGACCACTTTCCATTAGAAAGTCTTCCTGGAAGGCATTGCCCACTTATTGCATTGCCTTAAACAAAATCAAATCATTTAGGTATGAAACAAAAAAGAACCAAAAGTTAAAATAGTAAATATTGTGAAGGATAAGGAAAAAGAATCAATACTTAAATCATATATCACAATTTTGTTATTTTCGTAAAGTATGAATAAAGCATATCTTGGAGTTTTGCACCCTTTCATTGTTTGCACCTTAGGCGGTTGCCTAGTTCACCTATATGGTAGTGCCAACCCAGATGATATGTACACTCTGTACTGTTAAAATGTAGATGTAAACATCCTTTTAAAAAAATTAAAGTGACATGCTTTATATGTGCAAGATTCAACATGTGCTCAGGTACAAGAAAAAAATTTATGTATATAATCTGATAAAACATTTTAGGTTCAAAATTTCCTTATTTGTTATCAAATTTACTTTTGTATTTTATTTAAGCATTAAATATTTATATTCTGACTGTATCTCCCTAGAGTTTTCTCTGGCTCCCCAAAAATTGATTTTTGGCTTTTGGTGTGATTGAGAAACATTGGCCTAGAAACCCTAGATTAAAATTTATTCCATTAAGGTTGGCCATACTTCCATATGTACTGTACCTAATATCACTTTCTCACTCCTATCTTTCTGCATCCCCTCCATTAAAAATCATAATCACACAGCTTTTACATTGGTAATGATTATACAATGATGTACACTCTTCAAAAATGAAATTGCAACTATGACAAAGGAATGTATGAAACCACATGCACATTGCAAGACCAATAGAGGTGACAGAGATATGCAACAGATACCTGTTTATTCAGTAATGAATATGACCTCCATGAGTAGTTACACAGGTCACTCCATGAACACTTACAGAAAGGCATACTATCAATGAGGAGATTAATGGTTGTTGAGGTATCCCTGTCAAACTGCATCCATTGTGGTGCACAAGTCATCTGTGGTATGTGGTGTTGGACAAGATGTCTCAGGTATTTGATGGGAGAGAGATCCAGCCAGGGAAGGATGTGAATTCCGTTCAGATTAGTGAGTTTGTCATGCAACATGTGGTCAAGCATTGTCTTTATGGAACATTGTGTCAGATGTGGCCTGCACCAGTGGCCAAATCACAGGCCTCACAATTTGTGTGACGTACTAGTCCTCTGTCAGAGTACTGAAAATGTACATTGGGGCTGTCTGCTAATCAAACATGTTTGTCCTCAAACCATGATGCCTGGAGTGACAGCAAAAAAGCTGGCACATAGCTTTCCTTGGGATACCACATCTGTCCACAGACAGAAGTGGAATTCATCTGTAAACAATACCCAATGCCATTCAGTGGTCTAGTTATGATAATGACACCATGCCAGGTGTGTCATTAATTGTAACCTGCAACAAGCAATGGGGGTGGCAGTTAACGGTACCTCCATTGCTGGTTGCTATGCTATGTTGCAAATGGTTTGAGTTGACATATATACACCTGTTGAAGGCAACAGGTGGCTTTGGATGTCATGAGCTAAGGCAAATGGGTCCCGACAGGCCATTTGGTGAATCTGCCAGTCTGTGTGCTCTGTCACATGCTGGGGGTGATCCACTCTCTTTAGTGTGTTCACAGATGCTCCTGTATCTGTCATGTCACACATCCCAGATGGTACTCATGTTATGCCCAAGTGTGACAACTGTGCACATCGAAAAACCAAGGATGTGCAGCTCCAGGATACAGTCTCATTCCCCAGCTGTTAACTGGTGGTATTCAGCTCACCATTGTCTCTGAGGCATTTTCTATGCTTCTTCAGAAATTTGGCTGCCACAAACCATTGCTGATAGCATTTACAACCCAAGTCAGCTGCTGGTCTTTGTAGCCTGAAACTATATAATATATGACCCGATGCATATGCAAACTTAATCATTTGCATTCTCTGTCACCTCTACAGGTCCTTCAGTTTGCACATGGCTATGTGCATTCCTTCATGATGTTGCGATTTAACTTTTGAGGAGTGTATATTTTCCCTGATGCATTCATTTTAAACCTAAGCTCCAGAAAATTGATCCTGTAAAAAAAAGCAATTATCAATGACAAAATAGTATGCAACATTATTTTTATCTGTGGCTTAATCTCACAGCAAAATTTATTTCAGTAAAATAGAGTATTTCATTGGATGCTGACTTTTCAATTAAGATGTTCTGTATGGAGCTGGAGAAACATTTTGAATGAGCCACAGATTATTCATGGAGTTTATAAAATGTAGGAATTGATAAATGTATTTAAATGTGTTTGTGTAATATTTGGTGATGATAAATGAATAGCTTTTTAGCCATTCATTTATCATCATCAAATATTACAGTAGAGTTTTCTCTAAATAATTTTTACTTAATAAATGAAAAAAAAAAGTCATTTTTATAATGACAGCTTTATTAATGCTCTAGAACAGTATTAAGAAATTAAATAGAAAAGAATTTCTAGCTTAGATTTCAATTAAAGAAAAAATTCAATAATAATATAATAAAGCATTAACTATATGGCTACAATAAATGCTGATTTCGCTTTAACTTATCAAATTTTTCCTCTCTGAAATAAAGGAAGAGGATATTTATTTATTTTGCCTTTAAGCTCTTATTTGTTACTTTGAAAGGAGTTTTCAAATATAAAGAATAAATTAGTGAAATTTGTGGGCAAAATATTTACTATGTATTTTATATATAAGATAACTTAATAGAATAGCAAATATTTCACCACCTTTATTAAGAGATAAATGAAATGATAAAGTAATTGTAATTATTCTCAAATTTTGTTGCGACCATTTATAAGTTTAATAAGATTAGTTGACAATTAATTCATTGCATTTGACATTTTAACATAAGGATTTTTCTGGCCTTGATTTTGGATTTACCATGATGTCCATACTCTACAGTTGCATACTGATCTTTTCATATTGAACTATGCAATTTTGTTTTTATAGAGAAATAAAATGACAAAGGCAATGAGAAAACATATAGATGCTCACTGGCTATTGTTGGATACGCAAGTAAGAAATTCCAGATGACACACAGAAGGGGGAGTATATGAATTTTTGCAACAAAGCAGCAGTGACAATTTGAATTTAACCCTTAAGACAAACAAAAGAAAATTAGCACAATATGTTATTGTCACAGTGACATTTACTGGTTTATTTAATATATGAATAAATATTATAATAAACTATAATTTGTTTTAATTTCAGACAATTCACTATATTAAAAATGATACATTTTCAGATTTGGATTCAAAAGTACTAATACAGATTGTATCACTCCCAAGAAGAGGTAGCACCCACTTTGGGAATCACTGTGTTAGACCATCAAAAAATATAATAATAATAATTTTTTAAACTTTACATAATAAAAATGGCATTACATATTTTAGACAATAGAAAGCTTTTTGTTCTCATTTACACTTTAGATTTTAAATTGGATAACAATTAAATCTCCTACCTTTCATTTCATTGAACTTTTGGAAGAGACTTTCAAATGACGAAGGATCTTCATTAGAAAGCGACTCTAGAAAGGATTCGTCGTCATTCACTAATGTATCTATTGAATATATTACCATTATAAGAGCAATCATTCACAATCTTTTGATAATTATAATAGTTAAATAAGAAATTTTTGCTAGGATATTAGTGAAATTAAAATTTAAAGCAACTGTAAACAAAATTGAAAACTTTAAATTCTAATTGGCAAAATATATTAATTATAAATTACGCTAATCTAAAATTTGTTTACAATTTTATTCAATTATTTATGTTTATAAATCTAAGTTATTCCTTTTAAACATATTCTGACTTAATTTTGATTTGATATTTCTATTTAAATAATTGTCATGCTTGGAAAATAAAGGTTTAAAATTCACAGAATGAAAACAAACCAAATAGAAAAATGTATAATAAAATTTTACTGTTTACTAATTTTCTACAGAGAATGAATATTAATTCTTTTCAAAGACTTAAAGTTTTAATTTTATTATTATTTAAATGCGTAGATTGATGCTAAATGTCTGAATTATTAATGGAACAATTTGTGATGAACAGAAACATATCAATACATATAAATTTCTAAAATATTCTATAATAATGTAATTTTGTAAACACGTTAATTGGCAGATGGCAAGAATAAAATTGCTAATAAGTTAATAAAAAAATTCATTCAGTGTAATATCTATTCTATTCATTCCAGCAGCAACTTGTGGTAAGCACTGCAGAACCGCAGTGCCTCCACAGAAAAATAAAATCACAAAATAATCTCTAAATTTATACAATTACTATGTAATAAAACTCATTACACATGATTAATTTTTTTTTAATCAAAACCAACACTAACTGAAACAGTATACAAAATAACAATTTTATATTAGGGTATTGCCACATGCATTCCTATAACAGCACTGTTAAACAGTGCAGTGCCATATCCCAATGCCATCACCACTAAGAACAGTTCCACTTATTTGGCTGCTGTATCTCATGATATGACAAAATACTTGAATAACTTCTGAACAGTGCATGGCAGGAATTAGTTACTAGGTCAGAGTATTGCATGGCCTGTAAATGTCAATATGAAAGAAAAATTTTGAATCTTGAATTAATTTAAAATAATATAAAAACTATCCCTACCCTCAAAAATTAAGCTTTTTTTACCATTTTAAATTATTATTAAAATCTTTTTATATTTTTAATTAAAAATATAAAAATTAAAATTTTTTAAAAATCTTTTTATATTTTTAATTAAAAATATAAAAATTAAAATTTTTTAAAAATCTTTTTATATTTTTAATTAAAAATATAAAAATTAAAATTTTTTAAAAATCTTTTTATATTTTTAATTAAAATACAAGTATCATTACAGATGGTGCCAAACCTACAGTTTTAAATGTTGCTGGGAAAGTTAAGCAGCTTGTTACTGGATTTTTTCAGTTGTTTTAGACAAATTGCTTCATGTAACTTAACATTTTATGGTATATAAGCATGTTAGTTAATTGTTTGGTTCTTCAAGAATAAATTTGTAATGAACAATCCCCTTCATGTCAAAAAAATGTCACCAACAATAGTGGACATTTTAGTCTGACATTTTTTTACTAGATTCATTTCTATCTAATCAATTGATTTTGTCTTTTGATTTCACATTATCAAAGCTGTACACCAAAGTTTCATCACCAGTAATGACATTCTTAATCATATGGCAATAAAATATTTTCAACAAGCTCTACATATTTTTACTGGTCTGAAAGTAAACAAGGAACAAGAACAAGCTCTGCAGTGTGCATGGCATGGCATCACACCATGTTCCTTCATCGGCTGTTATATAATCTCTTAAACAGTTAATCTTCCGTCTATATCAATGAGTGAATTTTTTCAATGTTTTCATTGTTTCTTGCAGTCTGAGATTGTCCCCATACTGATCATTGATTATAGTGATTCATCCAGTTTAGAACTGTTTATGCTACTTGTTTCCCAAAAGTTATCATAATTTTTATACATTTTTCCATTAGGTTTTCCTTCAATTTTATACACATTCTCTGTTCCCCTAAACATTCCACGACAAATTTTGAAAACATTTTGCTACTTAACAGTTGTTACTTTCATAAAAAAAAATTTTACAATTACTGCTTATGCACTCATATCACGTGAATGCATTAAACTGATCATGTGTAAATATCAAAAAATTTATTTTTTGATATTTTTTGTTTTATATGTCCATTTATGGAACTTTTGAACATATCTTGTATACTGTACTTGTAAATTTCTTTCATACAATTAGAATTGTCACTAGCAGAATCTTATTGACAAATAATAAGTTTATTAAATAAGAAATTAGTTAATAATAAAGATCAGTTAATTAGGAACATAATTTCTTTTTATTTAGAAAATAATAGAAAGCTGGCAAGGGGTCTTGCACGACTTTCTCAGCACTCAAACAGCAGGTTAGTGGACCAGGAAGGAAGTATGTTAATTTTCAGTTTAATTATTATTTAAATTTTATATCATAATATAAGCTTAAATGCGTAATTTTGTTGAATTTTGAAAAATAGAGAAATTTGTTTAAAAAATTATGTTGCATCAATTCAAAATTAATTTTAATAAAATCTCAATGTCAATTATTATAAAAAGGTAAAAACCTTATTTTTTTGGGTAGTGATGAGTTTTTTAAAAAAATTTTAAGTCTGACTCTTCTCAAGATATGACACATTCCCTTTTCTATCTTCCATCCTTTGTTATTAAATTTTCATGTTTAAAGGTCATCAATATCCCATATATAAAAATAACCCTACCAAGTTTCAAAATTTTTGCCATCATTCAAAAAACAAATCATTTGGATACAATATGCTTCATCCAGTCAAGATAGATGCTGCACCACACAATTTTGTATATGGTTTTTTACATTTTTGAATTTATGGAGTATCAAAACATCAAAAAATGCAAAAAACTGGGAGAGGATCAAAATTTGACTGATCACAATACTTTCTCTAAGTTATATTCTGTAACAACCAGGAAAATAAAACATCCAGTAGATGTAATTAATAAAAATATCAAAATAAACTGATTATTTACAGTACAGTCTCAATGTTTTGTCTATTTACTTCATAAGTGTCCCTCGCTTATGATACTTCTGTAACATGGGCATCTTTCTGTTTGTACATATCGTTTGTCTTATCATAAGGAACTTTGTCGGTTCTCTCATTGTAAGTACAATGGGTGTTGTAAATATGTTATGTTTGCGTGCCAATCAGTTAGGGCGTTTCTGTAATTTTTTACTACTGTTCCACAACTGTATATAAATTTTTAATTTTGTTTTAAATAAAAGCGATACAGGTGCCCTTTAGACTTCCGTTTCATCCCCTTTCCTATCCTTCTTTGTAATTTCACCTTCAGCCTTTTCCTCTAAATCAGCGCTGTCCAACTTATCATAGTCCGTGGGCCATATTTTCTTTATCAAACATTTCGGGGGCCAAGAAGGTTGATAAACCACACGACATTTGCATAGTGCTACGGTTCAGTAAGCACTAATTGGTCAGCGAGTCCGATGTTGACGCTATAAAAAGGCGACAGTTCGACACACCGGATATACGTCACTCTCGTCTAAGTTCGACTTGGGAATTTTTTTGTTCAATAATAAATGTGAATTCTTCTTCCTGGAAAAAATAAGACATTCCCTGAAAATAAGACCTAGCACATTTTTCAGAGCAAAAATTAATATAAGACACTCTTATTTTCGGGGAAACACGGTAGTAAAATAATTTTAATATTAATAATAATAATTTAGTAACAAATTTATTCATAGTAAAATGTACTCGAGGGCCATAAAAATTATTTGGCGGGCCGTATACGGCCCGCGGGCCGCCAGTTGGACAGCGCTGCTCTAAATCATCTTTCTTCTTCATTTTCACCCCAGGCGATACCTTTGAGTAGCCCTGGGACCGTATTCTGATCAATGTCTCTGATCTCTTGTCGTTTGGATTAGCTGATTGGCTAATCCAAACGATTAGCCAATCAGCGACCGGCTTGTGAGAGACGAGAGACTAGAGACAGTGACCAGAATATGGCCCCTGGTTTCATCCCCTATCTGCTAAAAGTAAAAGTACATATAAAACTATTTGTGGCTTTGTTAACAAATATTATACTATTATGTCATATACTAATTGTATGATATAATTAATTGTAATTAAACTTTAACTATTATTTAATGGCCAAAATATACCAATGAACAAAATTTTATTACAATAGTCTGTTTCTGCCAAAGTAATTTATTTTAAATCAGTAAGATTTAATTTCACACAATGTCTGTTTTAGATCACAATTATTAAATTGTTGATAATTATTCTCTCATAAATAGTGTGTCTAAAAGCTATGCTTGTGAATGTAAAGTATACATCAAAGATTTGTGTTAATTTCAATAATAATTACAGTAGCCTTAATTATATTATGCCACATTATATTTCTCATTTGGATACAATATGCTTGATTTTTAGTCTTCCAAATATAAAAGTTAATAATTAATAATTCTTAAAAAAATCTTGTTAAATTTCTACTGGCATCCAATCATTGACCTCGAAACTACCATTGTGTGAAATGGTAGATTCAAAGTTACAAAAAAGCAATTCAGGTGGATAAATACATCAATTATATCACACCATCTGATAAATCACTTATTTAGTCTGTCTCCTGACATGCTTGATATAATAGGGGGGTATTTCTGAATACAATTTAGGGTGATATAACAACAAAATAATCCATATAATCACTTGCAAAACTGATATTATTATTATGTAAACATATTTCCATATTACTGTATATGTGATGCATTTAATTGTTATTAAAAACTTTAAGTACAGTAGAACTTCTCCAATCTAAACTAACTGGGGCCTAAACCTGTTTGCATTAATGGAGTGTTTCAGATTACCTGATATTTTTTCCCACGATATATTTTTTTAAGTTAATGTGTTGTTCTTCAATATACTGTAGTTGGATGAGCATTTTGTATTATTTACATCAGGATGAATGACACTAGTCATTGTTTTGAGAAGTGGCAAACTTGATTTAAGTACATGGTTGAGTTTTCAGCCTCTTTCCTTGAGTAAATGTATGACCCATATAGATGAGACAGAATACTAGCCTTTGTTTTCTATTGATAACAAACTTTTAATTTATTTTGAGTGTTTGTACACACTGCATATTCTGGGCATGTAAGGTAAGTGCAACAGCCATGTAGTTTGTTCAGAGAAAGAGAGAAATACAAATTTTCTTAGGGAGGTTCAGATTAGTGAGGTCCTACTGTATTTCTAATCAATTTTAAAATATTGAAATCATCATTATGCTAAATATCAAATTCACCTTAACTATCAAATTAGAAAAAATATTACCAAAGTACTCAATGCTTGTTAATTTCTTATCATTCTTGTTATGCGAAGAAAATCTTTGGTTGCTTTCTTCTAAAAAAAATTCAATGAATAAATTTCAATGAACATTTTTAGACAAATAATAATTATATTAAACGTTTTAGACATAATTAATTATACAGTATATTAATTAAATGTTATTTATAAATAATTTTACGATATGTTTTGGCTGGTGCAGTGTTCAATTCACAGCAAGCTCTCCAAGCTGCAGAGATGGTGTACACAGGAGCTGTAACTTCAGGAGAAGAGACAAGAAGCACAATCACAAGTGAGGCACATTCTCTACATAGTGTTAATCACAGCAAATACCTCCCTTGTGATTGTGTTTTCCTCCTCCCAAAGTTAAGGTGCCTGTGTACATCCTTTCTATAACTTGAAGAGCTTGCTATGAGTTGAACACTAATCAGGAAGGCATCTTTTAAATTAAGAATTTATAAAAGACAAGTTTTTTCTTTTTTTAAAATTATACTCTCTTGAATTATGTTAGATTTCTGTTATAAATCACATTTTTAAAGATTATATGTACTCAAATATTTTAATTCTTGACGATAAATAATTTAGATCAGGGGTTGGCAACCTTTCAGTGGTGTTGCGTAGAACCTAAGTGTTATTCCTGGTGCAGACATGATTTTACCAATATTTTGTTATATATATATATATATATAAAATCTGGTATTCTGTTATATATGGACCAGTTCAAAAATGTATAAATTTTAAGTCAAATTGTTAATTGAATTATGTTCTTACATGTGAGGTGCATGCACAACATGTAGATGGCAACATAGTGTTTAAATGCATGCACTATTATTATAATATATTATTTATTTATTAATTAGTATTAATATAAATATACAAGTAAAAGATTGATTTTTAATGTAGCATGGCCTACACTGAACTATGGTTTCCATTTAAATGTGTAATTAATAATTACAATATAAATTTTACTACATTTCTATTCAATCAGTGTCACTGAAAACTGTCCCATGTGCCATAGGTTGCCAACCCCCAATTTAGATTATTAAAAGCAAAAATTAAAACGTGTAAAAATTTTTTATATACCATATTTGTTGGCTTATAAGACTTTTTTCCTTATTAATACCCTAAAATATGCATTTCAGAAGCCAAAAGTTGCAATGCAACAAGTGATATAACCTCCTTGCTCTATTACCTATATATTATTATTAGATTTAAGTTAATAATACAATATACCAATATGCAAAGTAACATAATAAAATTTTAGACCATTCTACTGAAATGATGACTTGTCAATGGAGAAAACAAGTTTCATACAAGCTGATAAAACAAAGCACAACCTTTGTAAAATTCTGCCTAAATGGCCAAATTACGGTGCATCTTCCATGTTGCAGCATTCTATAAGCCATCATTTTTGGTTTAATTTACTTTGTATTGCCAAACTGTGTATAATTTGTATGAATTAGTATATATAAGAATTAACATTTTTTTTAAAATACATTTCTTCAAATTTTAATTCATATAGATAATGATGTAAAAGTAATATTAGAATATCATACAGTAAAATATTTTTTTAAACAGAATTTTTGTTTAATACTGTTAAGATACTTTAAGGTGGCTTTTCTCTTTCAGATTTAAAAACTGCAATTTCAATTGAGTGGCTAGCCATTTTATGAATATATACAGTAAACAAAAGATACTAAAGTATAAAGCATAAGTAGTGTGATCATAATTTATCCTGCAAGTCTCATTCCTAAATCATAAATAAAAGATTTATACAAATTAAGATTAATTAGCCATAGATTATAAAATTCCAGATGATACAATTCTGTGATTTATAATTAATCATCAACATAATAATTTATTTGAAATTGGAACTGCTTTAAAGATGGTTCTTTAATCAAATTATAGTAATCATGGATATAATATTTGCATATAAGTTAAGATGAGCTGAAATGAATGACTTCTCCTTAATATTATGTTAACTAAAAAATAAGTTACTGAAAGTTATCTGTAAAAAATCAAATTGCAGTTTTTTACTGCATCTGTATAAGTAATAAATCTAAAGAATGTCGATAAGTTAGTCAATACTTAAGTCTGAATGTTTACTGTGTGAACATATTTTAATTTTTATGAATAAAATGATGATTTTAAATAATGATTCAATCTTAAAATGCAAATTTTGATGATAGATAAATTTTACAATACATATGAAACAAAATCATTGCTTTAAACATGATTATACTATAATTTATAAGTAAAAAATTTATCATTTTAATGTGACCAAAGTTCTAATCAAGAACTTGTTAGCCATATCCAAATTCTGAATGTCAATTTCCTTAAATAGAAAGTCTTTTATATTTGTTTTGCATATAACCATTTAAGGAAAGGAAGTGTTGAGTCAGCAACTAACATAATCTGAATGGAACAAAGAATTATTATGGCTTCTGGAGAAATATTCACCTATGGTAGACCACCACAATTTTTTTTCACCTAATGATGAACCTATGTGTACTCAGACCACCAAGTGATGAAAATAACACAAATTTGAACAAAAACTTCTTATAAAAATAAAAAGCAATGATTAAAGAAATTTATAGATTTATATAATACAAATTATTTTATTACTTTAAAAATGAAAAGAAATGCAAAATAAATGAGACCTTAATGTAAAAACTTTTAGATTATCTTTTCAAAATTGCAAAAGAAAATTGCTAATTACAAGAGATTTTAAGATTGCACTCAAACAGATTATGATTGTCATTCCTAAGTAAATGATAAACAAAAATAATACTAACATGCAACATACCACTGAGATATACAGCATTCCAGCAGCATATCACTAATTTAACTAAATATGTAATCTAGGATTACATATTTGTTGGCTGCACTTCCAGCTGTCTTAGAAGTACAACAAAATAGCATAACTCAAGAAAGGATATTATTTTTTTTGCTCTCTCACATTCTGTGTGCAATGGAAAATAATTTTTTATGACAGAACTACAATTATTAAATCTGTCAGTGATCCTAGCATAATGAAGTATACAGAGATTTAATTTTATACAATGTTTATAGATTCCATTGAGCTGCCTCAATCAAGGCACAGGCCTTGATTGAGGCAGACAGTAGACATTATGCAATGCTTGGAAATAATTGCATAAATAGTTCACAATATTCTTAGACAATAGAACAGCAAAATGAAAATTACAGCACTCATCCACTGACTGGTTTTGATTACATCTTTTGTAATCAAAATACAAATATGATACAATGTGATGAATACAGATATCAGTTTAAGGTAAAACATTTGTATTCATCATTATATAATTTTCATATTTTATTAATAATTCTTTCTGTTAGTCATATTATTATTCAGTTTAAATTATGTGTATGAACATAGCTGGGTCAGTCAAGTATTTGCTAAACATCCCAAAATGTGACTGTTCAATTCTATAAATCTTAAGATAAAAACTTAATGACAGCTAACCAAAAGTAAAAATAATGTTAGTTTGATGTAATTTTTACTGCTGGATCTGCATTCTAGTCTAGCCATTTAGTTATACCCATTTCTACATTATCCATTTAGTTCTACAAGAAAATTCATAAATATTTTTATGATATGATGAAATGTTAACTAGATAAAGATTAATATTTATATCATCATCTCATTACATATTTACGTTAATAATATATTTTTTAATTTTTGACATCATGGTCTTGTTTGTAATTCATAAGATTTTGAAATATAAATAACTTTTAAATAATTACATGATTAAATGTATGTTGTTTTATTTCAGTATAAATAAATAAATTTAGTTTGTTATTTTTAAACATGGTGGCAAACTGCCAGAGAGTGGACTACCCCAACGTAACAAAAACCCAAATAAGAACGAAAAACAACAAAAATATAATTAAAAATTTTTTTATCTGAATTTTTCATCTATAAAATAAATATATATATTTAGTGTTAATGATAGTATATATATATACACACTATTTTTAACTATTTTTTATTTTTTTTAACTATCATGAGTTACGAAATATATTTAGTTTCCCATGTATGTGTTATGGACAAAGTGATTAATACAGGCATTACGAATAATGACCAACAAAACTGGGCATTGTAATAAATTTCAATAATTTATCAAATTGACCATTCATTATGAATACTGCTACTAGATGATAGCAGTATTCATTTGGGCAAAGTGATGATAATACTTTGAGGAGTTATCATCCAATATACGCTAGGCAATCAGCAAATCACATCTGAGTTGTACATGCATATTACGTTTAGTACCAGATCTGGTGGCAGTTGCGACTGTTTGTGCTCCCAACAGACTCCTCCCAGGGGGGAGCCGCCAGCAGGCTACCAATTGTTTAGTCACTAGTTATTGATTCACTGTAGTTGTTGAACTCACGTATCAATAACTAGTGACGTTAAACAATCAGCGGCCTGCCGGCGGCTCTCCTCTGGGAGGAATCTGTTAAGAGCACAAACAGTCATGACCACTGCCATGACTGTGTACATAATTAAATAGTAAAATTTTACCTAATATAGTTAATAGTATTAAGTTTTAAAAGATTACATATTCTTTTTAAAATACTTTGAAATAATTCACAAAAAATAAATATTTCTAAATGAAATAAGTGGAGTTTTTAAATCAAATTAAAATGTTGCACAAGATTAACTATTGGTTAAAATTCAGTACTAAATGCAATACGCACATGCAACTCAGATTGCCAGTTGGCTAACATATGTCAGATGATCACTCCTCAACATAATATCATCACTTTGCTTGACTAGGTGATAGCAGTATTCATAATGACCGGTCAATTTGATAAATTAATCAATATTTATCACACTGCGCATCCTTTTTGGTCATTATTAATAATGACCAGACATTATGAATAATGTCCAATTAATCACTTAGTCAATAGTGCATATGTTATGGACAAAGATAATTCTATTGCTTTATCAATTGACAAAAATATAATGCAGCATTTTAAAGATTATGTTAACCGGAATATTTTAAATGAATAAAATAATGTAAATCAAGACTTCATTTGGAATTTGCCAATAAACTGAACACATTAAAATTAACATTAATTCACAAATTAAATTTCATTTTGCGTTTAATGAAAATTTTATAAAGAAATGACAATGTTTATGTGGCTTATATTGATTGGAAAAAATCTCAAATTTCAAATTCGTTCAGACACATTTATTAAATACAATATACATAAATTAGATTTAAAACAAATTTTGAGACATTAATGATTAAACACCAAATTATTTAAAATGGAAACTAATATCACAATATTGGTCAGTCTGAAGAATTCATATAAGAATCTCAAAATCGTCTTTCTTGGTGTCAAATTCTAAAATATCAAAAAATAAAATTGCAGATATAAAATCCATGAATGATCAATAATATATTACTTTTATGTACTCACAAATAATTAATAGTTTACATAAAATAATAATAAACTATAAAAAAACATAGCATGTACAATGAAATAAAATATATATTCCACAGTACACTGAATCTTTACTTCTCATATAGATTAATTTTTTCCTTTTATGATGCTCTTCTTTACTGAAAGTTATAATTTATTCTAATTTCTAAATTAATTTCTTGCAACTTAATGTACAAATTTGAAAATCAACATCTTAGTTTGTGTTTTACTGTTTTGTGTATCTAATAACAATAAAAAAGGCCCACAAGAATGAACAAGTTAATAAGAAAAAAAGGCCATATGGTATGAAAAACTGTATGGACAATACATCAGAAAAATTGAAGGAAAGGTGGATAACACTAGGACTTGGCAGTAGCTAAGAAAGTACAAGGGACAATAATAATAACACAAAAATAGGTAGTCCATACAGGTATAGCAAAAGCAAACACCAACGAAACATTCAAAAATAGAAAATGCCAATTATGCCAAGAATCGTGAGATAACAGACCACATAGTCAACAGCTGCAATAGCATAGGACAGACTAACTACAAACAGAGAAATAACAAAATCACAACAATGATTCATTGGAATACAGCAAAAAATACAAACTACCTTCATCAAAAACTAGTGGTACCATAATGATGACGACATTGTTGAAAATGAATATGTCAAGATTTTATAGGATTTTGGAATGCACAAGGAGAGTTTGTTAAAACATAACATACCAGATGTACTATGATTGAAGCAGGTTTGGTTGATTGATCTGTTCTAGCAAAAAGCAGAATTTTAAAAAAAAGTATGTAAACATCTTAAGATACAAGGATTTGACACACAACTGAACAATACTGGAAAAACTATCAGCATTTAATCCTATAGTAGCTTGCTACAAAGAAGACTACTGATATTTTTGGAACTACATAGAGTCCAAATTGTTCTGTATTGTTCCAAAAGACTTAATCATCTGAATATCTTGGATTAAATTACCATCTATCACTGCAAATATCTTACAAAAATACCTTGAAATATCCCAGATTCAAAAAAATGAAATCAAATGGATTGATTTAATGTTCTTCAAATATTATCTGGGGGACAATAAAAACCTACTATAATATTATTTCAAAAATGTGATTTTGAATTATTTTTTCTTTAAATTAAAATATACATTCAATTTTAATATATATTTTCTCAATTTTTCTATAAAAAATTGTTACCTCTACATTAAAATATTTACCTTTCATTTCTAAGTTTGGCCACACGTGGGCTTGAAGAGCTTCTAGTATTCTTCTATATCCAGTTTTGTTTAAAAATTCATCTGTATCTGTAACAAAAATGATTTAAATTAATAAAATATTATACTAAAACTAAAGTTTTCTTAAATATACTGAATTTTCATTTTATGAATTCTCATAAATTTTGCACAAAAGATTTTTAAAAAAATTAATATTTCTTTTTTCATGTACAATTTTTCTATGGAGAAAAAATATTTAGCCATTAAACTATATATAACAAAATAAACTACTAACCTCTCTTACATTTATAGTTTAATTGTTTGTCAATTTTTACAATGTTGTTAGAGCTGATTATGTAAAATTAAAATAATTTATCACAAAATATTTATATTTTTATAATGCCACTCTAACTTTTTGGATTTTAATACTGTTAAAATGTTTTTACTTATTTATTACAAAAATTTTAAAAAGGCAATGCCCATTAGCCTCCCCATAAACAACAGAATTAGCCCAAAACAAAAAACGAATAAAATTTTGAATATTGAAACATTATAATTAAAAGGTAAACATTTTAAATATACAGCAAATTTTTTGCATAAATTTTGAAATTAAAAGACAAATACTTCTATCAGAAATATTAAATAATTTTTAATAAAAACACACATTAATGAATGTTCAATTTTAAGTCTACTGAATGAATGCAGCACCTTTTATAAAGATTTGATGTATTTGTAAGAATTTATAACAAATTCTTACAATTCTAGAAAATAAGGGAAAATTGTTAGAGATATTTAATTTATTAAAGGACGAGGACCATATAGAATACAGTACTAAATTTTTATCCTTTACAATTTACTGTATTGTTGATAAATACCCATGCCAATATTTAAATCTAAAATAAGTGTTGTAAACTTAATTAATTAAGCAAACTATTAATTAATTTAATTTATTTACATAACAAAAAGATTATCATACATTTAATTATCTGAAAATATTTGAGAATTTATTTTTATTAGTGCAAAAATTTCAAAGCACTTCATTACAAAAATTCTTACCGTCATCGTCATGTTTTTCTGGATGTAATTCAACCAATTCAAATTTATTCTTCACACACCATGGTATATATTTATTATACAATTTATCTGCATATTAAAATTAATACATAATTATATGGTAAAACAAGATATATTTTAATGAAGATGATAAAAAAATTAATATTTAAAATTTACCATAATTACATGAATCGCAAACTAATATCTGTACATCTGCTTCAAAACTTTCTACTATCGGAAACCATGATAACACATCGTCAAAACTAGATTCCTAAATTAAAATAAAGTTTTATTTCTTATTATTTAGTATTTATCTGAAATATTTTTATTTATTATTATTATTATTATTATAGTATTTGGTACCTGTGATGTATCAAAATGAATAATAACAGCTTCTACCGAATCAGAAAAATCTGGAGAAATATCTTTTGAAGATGCAGCAAAACAAAATAAATCTGTTTTGTAATACTTTGTTTCTAGATGCCAAGGATATGATTTAATGTGTTGAAAATGAGATTCTGGTTCAGGCAAATTCTTTGTCTCCAATAAATCTGAAAAAAAAGTATGTATGTATATAATACACTATATTAAAAATTAATAATGAACATTTGACATTTCTCTGAAACTTTTGAATTCTGTTAATTCATGTGTAAAATGATTATCAAATAAATGTTGAAATAAGCTGAATAATGTAGGAAATAAGTTAAAATCATTAAATATCTCTATTTTAAAATGTTGAACAATAAATGTATGGAAAACTCGAAATCATTAATGCCAAATGATTGCTGGATTATATCAGGTTACATTAATGCTATTACAGTAAACTCTCGAAAACGCGGCCTAATGTGGACCGAAGGTGGCCGAGTTTTTGAAAATGCCGGGTTATCGGGAATGGGGTTAAAAAAATAAGTATGAGTGTTTCCTCAGAAAATAATGTACTGTACTTGTATGTATTGTTTACTTGAGAATACAACAGAGAATAAACTGACCAAATACCCTTAAACAAAGGAAAAGTACGTCTTCTATGAAGGCATAGAGCCTTTAAATACATGAAAATGAAAATTAATGAATACACTGTGTATAGTAATTTACCTGATAAGACAGACCTGAAAAAATACTTTATGAGGCATAAAGCTGTCTTTATCATGAAAATTAATTAACTAAGGATTTTTTTTGTCCTGCCAGGGTGTGGCCGAGTTATCCAGAGTGCCGGGTTATCGAGTGCCACGTTTTCGAGGCTCTATAATTATTAATAATAATAATAATAAGTTAAGTAATTTGGCTTAGAGGTAGGCATTAGGTACCATCTCTTGTTAAATTTAATAATTAATCTAGAAGGTTCTGGAAGAAAATAATTGACCCGAAGCGGGACTCAAACCTGTAATTTCCACTTGCCATTTAGACACATTGCCAGTTACGCTACCTAGACTTCCATCCAATTTTCATTTTCAGAACTATTAATTTAGATTTCATCATACCAGTTACTCATAGTACCAACTGGAGAATGCCTTCAGTGCCCACAGCCTTAAATATTAACTTAATTATAATTATTAAATTTATCAAGAGATGGCACCCAACTCCAACCTCTAAGCCAAATTATTTAACATTTAATTATTAATAGTAGCATTACTATAGCATGAAATAATCTGGCAATCCTTTGGCACTAATTTTAAAGATCAGATTATTAATGTTCATTGAAAATCATTTTACTCATGAATTAACGCCTGCAACTGTGAATCATGTTGACTAATATCAATTGCTTCTACTAAAAAATGAAATCTACTACATTACATTTTATTCTACAATGTTTGAAAATGTGTGCACTTTAAATCTTAAAATGTAAATTATGTGCAGTTTTTTTTTTAAATTAAAGATTAAAGCAAAACAAATATAACTTTTATATAACGTAATAAATAAATTTTAAATAAATCTGATATTAAATAAATAATCATGTCCAAAATGTAAATACCATTGTACAAAATGTGTGTGTCCATCCAAATAAGCAAATCTGTATCTAGTTAAATAAAATGTATTCAATTATCAGGGCGATTAATCAACATTCAACATATCACTTAATAAAAAAAATCAATCAATTAGAAATACAAAAATTTGAAGGAAAAAAAAATGTTAAAAATAGTTTATTCAAGAAATTTAATTACTCATCATTTTAAAAAAAAATGAGTATTTTCAATTATAGTTTTCTAGTCCTTAATAGTTTTCTCATGAATTCAATCATGAGAAAACTATTAAGGACTAGTAATAAATAATAAAGGGTTATTTAATTATTCCTGGTACTAAAATATAGGTCAACCTAATGTCCTTTTAATTATACTTATTTTTCAACAAAGTTTGTGCAATAAAAATTTTGGAGAAACTATAAAAAGATTACAATTGTAATAAAAATGTATAACTGTACATTTTTATTACAATCAGTCTTTAATCATCAGTCTACATTTTTTGTGAATATTTCACAAAAATGTAGACTGATGATTAAAGACTGCATTTAGATTCAAAATTAAGAAAATCAATACAGAATGTGCTAATTTTTCTTCATATTTGACTGCAATTTGTGTATTAACATATAAATTTTTGTAATATTGCTTAATTTAATTTTATCAAAAAGAAATTGATAATTTTATTGAATAAAATTATTACGGAAATTGATGATAACAAACAGACTCCACCTTGCAAGATTTTCTAATTTAGGAAACAATATTACTACTAATTAAATTAAACTTCACTTAACACTAATATATTTTAGACAAAGTGATTTTCTTAACAATCTTTTAATCATAAAAAACGTTTAAAAGAAAAAAGTTGTAGAGAATTTCATTTGTCAAAAATATTTTAATGTTCTTTAAAGACTACTTTATTTTCAATATATCAATATACAGTGGTACCTCAGGTTACGAACGCCCCAGCATACGAAATTTTCAGGATACGACATGAAATTCGAACATATTTTTGCTCCACGATACGAACAAAAACTCACCATACGACGTTACATTAGTTCGTATTTTTCATATGTTTTTCTTACTACAGTTATTTTTTTTAATGTATTACTTGGCTTTAATTTGAGTATGTTTTTCGCGTTGGAACGAATTATTTGGTTTTACATGTAATCGTATGGGAAAAGATGATCCACCTTACGATATTTTCATGATACGATCTCAGTTTCGGAACGGATTAATTTCGTATCCTGAGGTACCACTGTATATGAATTAAAGGAGTAAGTAAACTTTTAATACTTACTGAATTAACATTAAAAATTTTAAATATTTGATTCCTATATCATAGATGAGAAACCAAATTGTTATTTTAGTTAATAGTCAATGATGTATCCAAGAAGAGGGAATGAAAAATTGTGTATCCAAGAAGAGTCAAAAAATACTGTTTTTAAAACATTTATGACAGCAAATATGATTTAGTGGACATCTTCAAAACAATTGGCATGACACATTAATAAAAGATACTGTACTTATTAATTATTCGAATATTTTTAATTTTTGAGTTAATTCCCTTTGAGTACTTCTAGATCCATTACTGTTAAAACTAGATTAAATCAAATATGGTAATAGCTAAATTCTTGTCTTTTATTACCATCAATAAAGTATATGGAAATTAATTGACCACATAATGTCACAACAAGTTAATTGTCAAAGCAGACTTACAAAACTTTAAGTATAAGAAGAATAAGAACTAGAAATTTGAACTGATATTGAAAATGTTTCAAGAACTAAATAAATCTTCCTTTAATCTAATACTTTTCAAAAACAATTATTTGAATTAACCATACAACATGACAATTATATGATGGAAGATGAGAATGACAAGAAGGATTACCTAATTGTTCTTGGATACTTACAAATACATAGAAAACTTTGTCTTTTAAATCCAACAATTTTCTAAGTAGTTATAACTTAGTAAAAATATATAAAACTTGACAATTTTAAAATAAAAAAAATCTGCTATATAATTTATTGAAAAACACAAAATACACCTATTTAATATAAGAGATTGAATATGTCATTAAACAAATTGCTTAAATTAAAATGACGATTGAAAAAACTTGATATTTAACACGAACGATCATATTTAGATTAGATTATAAATTTTATTATAATGCTTGATTAAATCATAAAATAAGCTCATTTGTTTTTAATGCTTATAACACTAATAAACAAAAAAAAAAACACAAGATATTTTCCAAATCTGTCACCATAAATTTGTTCTCATCGGTGGAAATTTCATATGGCGAAAAATAGCTTGGAAGTTACAACTCAAATTACATAAATCAGAAATGTAAGGAGCAAGTTTAAAGAAATAAGGAGGATCTGGAACACTTTATGCATATGTTTTTACCTTTTCTCATTGGTTATTTGATATAGAAAATTGTCATTTAAAAAATTCAAATGACGATTTACTCTATTACTTCCATTTATGTGTTGTAAACTTCTTTCAGAATCGCCTATTTATCTTTTAATTAATTAAAAAATATCTTCAATATTCCAAAAATTACGTAACCACTTGCTACGAAATCAACTCGACAAATTTCTCTAAAATTTTGGTTTCGCTACATCTCTTCTTTTTTAAATTAAATCATATTTAATTAATGTTGCCTGATAACTTAATATTTTGGTAATTGATTTATACTTACTTTTAATAATTTCTTCAGGTTGAGTGGAAGAACAACTCACAACAAGCACGCCTGAAGCCATGACAATTTAAATGTATCGGCAGCAAAAACTTTATAATTGTCAACACTTACGTATAGATCGTTTCGGTAAAGTTTAGAACATTGTTTCGCCGATAAAATAAATTTTAAGACTTTTACTCAGAATTTCATTCTTTTAATAAAACTAATCTATTAGCTGCTACTATCGACAATTTTCGCCAACATAACCAGACTCCCTCTAGCGGACAAAATATTTTCAGATTATTTTTCGTTTAATATTTGTAAGAAGAAATTTATTCCTCTTTATTTCAATTATTATTACCCAAAATAATAATAATAATAAAACGTTTTATCTCGAACGTATTTTCGTATCGCTTAAATTCATAATTCACGAACAAAAATCGATTATTGGCCAATTAGCGTTTACTTAAATGGTTTAAAGTGATGCAGAAAATACTTACTGGATAAAATTTTCCTTGAAATTTATTATTGAAATCGTCGAGAGAAAAATCAAAGATCTAATCATCGTCTTCGCCGCATAAATAATAAATATATTTTTATTAAATTCCAAAACTTTCATTCCATTTTTCAAATGTATATATTTTGGTTTACAATTTTTCTTTTTTCTTTCTTTATCTTCGCCTTTTCCCATGTTTATATGGAGTCAGCGTTTCCTTTTCTAATATGTTTCTTCCATTTCTTCCTATCAAGGGCGTCTTCTCTCTTAAGTCCCCTCTGATTCAAGTCTTCCTCCACACCTTATCTTTCTAATGCAGCCTTGATCTTCCTCCTTCCTTTCACTACCAGTTTTCCATCCCTCTTTCCAACATAATCTTCACTACTTTGCTCTATGTGACCAAACCACCTCAACGCAGCTGCATTCTTGCATCTTCCTGCTCAAGGGACCCACCTTAACAGAACTTCTCGTTCTGTTAAGGTGGGTCCCTGTTAAGGCTAAATAAACTCGTTTCTTATTCTATCCTTCTTTGACACTCTACTCCACACATCCATCTTTCTTTCTTGGGCTCTTGTGATTTTCCATCATGTCTCAGCCCAGTGGTGTAGCTACATATTCAGCGCTTTGGAGCAAGTAGAGTCGGTGCACCCTCCCTAGTTTTTCGGAAGAGGTCTGGCGAAATTTGTTTTGAAAATTTAATTTTAGAAAGTATATTTAATTATTTCGATTTAAAATTTTACTCAATAACAATTAGGATTCAAGGCATTTCAATAATAAGATAATCAATTTAATTAATGCAAAATTTCTTTAATAGATCTGCTAAATCATCATCATAGCGAGAAAGGAATTTAATTATTTCTAGAAAGTTTCCTTGCAAAGTTCCTACATCTTGAAGAAGTGTAATCCTATGATCTCTGAAGGGTAAATTATTTATAGCAAGTGTTATAGTTACATCTACTATACGTCGCAACAATTTGCGACAATAATTTACCGCATCGTTAATTTCTTGCTAACATCTATGGTTGAAACACTTTTCCATCGATAGTAAATTGTGCAAGAAATTCCATCTTGGTTCGATTCTTCATATTTTTCAACATTTCTTGTTAAATGAAGACAGATGAGCAAAACGGTACCAAAGGACACATCTGCGAAAATCGTGATGGGTAAGCACGAACTCTAACATTCGTCACCCATGCAATTAGTCAGGAAAGGAGTAAACAATGCAATAAAATACTTTGCCAGCTCTAGAGGTAAGTGGGTCGTTTTGTCTAAAAGCCAGGTGTGTGTGACTAATAAATCTACAAAATTCAGCAAATTCTATAAATTAATTAATTACTTTTGTTTTGTTCGAAAATTTGAAATTTTATTATAATGTTTTTACAAATCTTTTTACAAGTTTTTATTTCGTGTTTCTAATTTTGCACCCTCGTGATTCGTGCGCCTGGAGCAGTTTCCTCCAACTGCTCTACGGTAGATACGCCCGTCTCAGCCCAGCAACATTGCAGGTCTAACAACCGATTTGTACAATTTACCTTTCAATTTGCAGCTAACTTTCTCAACACATAACACACCGCTCAACTTCCTCCAGTTCAACCATCCACATTGAATTCTATGTTGCATTTCCGAGTTCAATCCTACCCCATCTTGACAAAGGTCCCGATATACTTAAAACTCGGAACCACGGGAAGCGGCACATTTTGGATTTTAATATTGCACTCATCCCTGTCATACAGAGTCATATAAGCTGTTTTAGTGCTGCTAATCCTCATGCCCCTTTCTTCCAAAACTTTCCTCCACTCTTCCAGCTTCTCGGTCTTGGTTTGGGAAGGTTCACACAACACAATATCATCCACAAACAGCATACTCCAAGGAGCACCACACTTCACATCACAAACCAACATGTCCATTACCAGGTCAAACAGATAAGGCCTAAGGGCTATCCCTAATGTAAACCAACATTAATGGAGAATCCTTCTGTAGTGCCCACGCTACTCCTAACTTGAGTCTCCGCTCCCTCATACATTTCCTTGACAAGCCTAACATACTTTTCTGAAACATTCTTTTCCCTCAAACATCTCCATATCTCTTGCCTTGGTACCCTATCATAAGCCTTTTCCAGATCTATGAACACCATGTGTAAATCTTCCTGCATTCCTTGTGCCTTTCCATCAGCTGCTTCAAAGCAAAGATAGCATCAGTCCCTTTTCGGCATAAACTGTCCCTCTCCAATCTCAGATTCCTGTCTAATCCTTCTTTTGACAATTTTCTCCCAAATTTACATACAGTAGTATGGGACAATAACTTTATACCACTGTAGTTTCCACAATCCTGTACATCCCCTTTACCTTTAAAGACTGGCACAAGAATACTCCTCCTCCATTCATCTGGGATCTTCTCCTGCTCCCGGTTTCTTCATAAGGTCCCAGAGGATATCAATCCCCTCTTTACCCAAACCTCTCCAAGCCTCAACTGGAATCCGATCAGTGCCTACTGCTTTCCCCATCTTCATTTCCCTAAGCACCCTTTTCACGTTTCTGCTAATATATTGCACCACCCCTTCATTTGCCTCTCCATCCTCCTATAAAGTTCTGAAGTTTTCCTCATTCAATAAATTCCTAAAATATACTTTCCATCTTTCCTTGACCCTTTCGTAATCTTGTAATACCACTCCTTTATCATCTTTAATCAGTTTAATAGAGGTAAAATCTTTTGATGCCTTATCTCTTGCTTTGGCAAATATACAAGAAAAATATTCAACAGAATCCTAGAAAGTCGGTATTAATTACACTTGTTCATAAAAAAATATATGCTTTGCTTTTATGTAAAAAACATTTGATTTCTTTATGTCCTATAATAGTTAATAATAATTTTAAGTTAAAAATAATTTGTGAATTTTTTTATTTTCTTATGCAGAAATAAAATTACAATATTTGCATTATTGAATGCATTAAAAAGGCATTAATTTAAAAAACAAACAAACTTTCAACCATGTTTCCTTTTGATATATTTATATATAAATATACAAACAATATTATCTATTCAGGTAATTTTTATACATTCCAGCTAGAGATCTGGCGGCTAAGAGAAGCATCTCTCGTCTCGAAATACCGACGAGTCTCTGGTGCCATTCTGTGCGGGACACTCCCAGAACCGTGCTCGTCACCTGTCCTATTGTTACAGCCAGTCCCGACCATCTCAGAGGATAATCCGGCGGAGTCTGGTCTTGAGCTTGCAAAATGTATTCGCTGGGGATGGGGGTCGCTTGAGTGTAAGTATGAAGTGTTATGTTAGCTCTCGGATCGTGTAAAACTAGACACCCTATATCATACCATCTGAAAATAATAATATATATCCGTAACTTAATAAGAATCTGTAAGAATAGAATAATAATAATAATAATAATTAAACAGTCATAATTTAAAAAATGTATTTACTCATTCTATTAGTTTTACTTTCCTGGCTGTTATATACAGGGTACATAGGAAAGTCCCTTTAACTGGAAAATTCTTGTGAACGGAGAGGGCTACAGCTATGCAAGTGAGGTAACGGTATAGTAAAGCGACTACGCCCGACCTAATGCAAACGACAACAGTGCCCCTAGTGACAAAATTTGGAAGATGGACAGTGCAAATCAAAAACGAAAACAGATAGAGCAAACTTTCCAATTAGAAAGTTTTAGAGCATCAATTAATTAGTACGAAACAACATGTGGTTCACACGGATAAGATAAATTTTCGCCTGTATACCCAAAAATGTCCGAAAGCGATGCACGCCATTTTGTATAATCGTCTGAAAGGAATAGCCATAGGTATGAAGAAATACGCACAATTTATTGCATAAAATACGTACTTACGTCAATACAGTTTGATAGCATCACAAAAACAACAGAAAGGCAAACTGTCACACAGTAATAACAAGTTAATGTCCAGTATGTTTGAAAAGTTCGCCATTGTTATCAAACTGTATTGACTTAACAGTTAACAGTACAGACTTAACAGTGCAAGTGAGGTACTATACCGTTACCTCACTTGCATAGTTGTAGCTCTCTCCGTTCGCAAGGATTTTCCGGTTAAAGGGACTTTCCTATACACCCTGTATACATAGCAAAGGAAAGTATTGGAATCATGTCATATTTGACCCTTCAGGTTTTTTGCAAAGTTTAAAGTTTGAAGACCCATTGAACCCAAAAAATAAAACAAATTCTGTAGGTGTGTGTGTCTATTTCATTTAATGTCTCAAAATGGGTAAAGATTAAGAAAATCACATTAAGATTAAGTATCTACCCATCCCTCGATCTTTAATGATCAGGGATAGGTAGATTTAGAGGGTCAGACTTAATATTTTACTCTTAACATTTGCAATTTTTTTTTTATAAAATTCATTACTACTCTCAAAATTAAGCTTTTTGCCATTTCATAATAATTGATGATATAAAAATATTTTATAACAAAATATAACATAATGCCAAATACAATTTCACTTATTTTGATTACTAATATAGAAGTTATTTTTTAAATAAATTCTCAATGACCAAGAAAGTTATGCAACTCGTTGCTGAATTTTTTCTTATAGAAAAAAAGAAAGGCTCTTCCTGTTTCATATAAGAAATTATTTTCACTTAAATAAGCATTTTTTAATAAAAAACCTATGGTAAATCAATAATCGGTTAACGAACAATTCGGATAGCGAACAAAGCCTGGGAACGGATTATGTTCATTAACCGATCACCCACTGTATATTAATTAAAAATTAACATTATTTCTTTTTAACATTTAAATGACATTCTCCTTGTTTATCTGTTTATATTCTATTCAACTATAAATTTTTTTAAATAAAAACTTCAAATTACCTTTCTGGAGTTAATTCAGCCAAAAAATTTTCTATAGCTACTGCTGGCTGATGTTCATGTATGGATCCTTGTTGTCTGAGAGTAGAAATTCTTTCTTCAGCAGCTTTCAATGCAACTGCAAATCCTACAGGTTGAGCAGCAATATTATAAGATTGAGCTGCTATTCCTTCGACAGTGGCTCTCCCAAAAACATGTTGAAAAGCTTCTCTAATTGGAGATACTTTAACTTCTTTATCAGAAGCAACAACAATGCTGATGTCTCCACCCGAATCTACAAGTTTTAAAGAAAACAATTACAAGTTAAATTTTTGTCATTATATTTTAAATTGATAATATCATGTATAAATTTTATTTCAAAATTTTTTTATTATATACAGTAGAAGTTCATTAATATTGCATCTAGATGAACAGAATGGCACTGAATTATCAAAAATGGCAGAGTATTGAACATTTTTGTATTTTTGCAAAATTTGTTTAGTTAGATACAATACTGAATATTGCAGATATTGCTGTACATTATGTGTCTGTACCAGTATATGCTGGTAAAAAATGTACAGTACAGCAATGCCTGACCTGATAAAAAACAAGATGCTGTAACAAAAGTGAGTCATTTTTCTCAACAATTCACTCTTGATCCTATGGCTAACCTCCCAACATGATAGCAATGTACACTGCCAAACCCTCGCCTTAAACTCAATTATGGTTTGGGTCTCTAGAACATAGTGTCCAAAAAAAATTTCTAATTTACAGAATACTAGCATGCCTGATTATCATCAGACAGTTCCAGATTATCAAGTGCCTGATTAACAAACTTCTACTGTATTTATATTTCCTTACATATAATTTCTTTCATTCCAGGATCTAGTGTTGTTATCATTGTATCAACAGAATTCTGAAAGAAATAAAAATCAGTTTAACAAAATAATGTAATTTATTATTTTTGTTTATATTATTACAATTGTTTAGAATTCCCTGTGTCAGAATGACCATGTTTTAAATTACTTTACATTGTATTCTTTTAGTAGTAATTAAATTGTCTTAGTTATTGCTAATTCTTAAATATCTTAGCATTCTAAATTATTAATTGAACTATTTTGAATTGTAATACACTCAATGGTATATAAACAAATGATACCACCAAATTTCAATTAGGCAACAATATGGCTAATTAACTAGGACATCACGTCTTTGTTGTATCAAGATAGAATTGAGGTGGAACTGGAAAGAAAGAAGAGATCCCTGCACCTATTAGATATAGAAGAGATGATTTTTATACCTGAGGGACATGGACAAGTGAACTATGAACTTGCTGCCACGAAAGAGGCTATCCTTGTACCTGCTGGCCATAGGAGATACGATCCCTGCACTGGCCAGGTACAAAAATGATCCTTGCATTTGCTGACATGGAGATGTAATCCAAGAACAAAGCAATTGCCATCAATTGCTTTTTTCATTATTTATGCCTATTTTCCATTAGGTGGCTCAGTCACATCAGAGAGCACAGATATCGTCACTTTAATACCTCTGTATATTGAAAACAAAGTCACAGACTTCTATTTTTAAAATTTAAATGGGCCCTCAGTACATTTTTGGATTCCTCATTGCAATTAATGAAAAATGGAAAAGTTTTATAAGCCCATAGAAATCATGCTAGTTGCCATAACATCACACAACAAAGTCGCATGATTCATGTAATATCACTTTAATGCAGTGGTTCTCAACCGGGGGGTACATGTACCCCTAGGGGTACAAGTGTAAATCAAAGGGGTACATTTAACTTTCATTATAAAATGGCATATGTTAATCAATTTGCTGTAAATTATTAACACTACAAACAAGAATAGACAAAAACTTGCTTTAAAATATCCCAGTGTGAACACAGATTTCCCTTTTAACAGTCTAAACAACTTGTTTATCCACTTGATTTGTCTGTCTATTTGTGCCATTAGTGCCGAGTGAACCTGTAGTCTAGTAAAATTATGGTTTAACTGAGCATTAATTATTTCTCGATAAGATTGTGGCTTTTCGTGTTTTTACTGGACTACTGATATTAGGAATAACGAGGCCTGGATCATATCCCCACCATGCAATGCGTGTCACTGCATGCGCGCATTACTTGATATTTAGCAAATTTATACATTACATTTGCTACAAAAATTAAAAGATTCCTGTATTGTTCTGCACGTTATAAATTTGCCGCCTTTACTTTCAAGGTCAATACACAATTATAATCTGTATTTAACAACGTGGGAACCAAATTTTGAAAAAATTGCTGAAGATTTATCGCATCAAATATCCCATTAAATTTTGTTAGAAATTATTGTAGAATAATTTAAATTTTTTTCAATTATAATTATTTATTTTTAGGAAATGTAATTTATGCATGTATTGAAATGACTTCTGTGATTTTATATAATATACTTTTCAAATAATAATAAATAAATGTATGTATTTGATTAAATTTATTATTATTTATGTAAAATAAGTAATTCACTTTTGGTTATAGTTAGAGTTTTTTTTATGGCACTCAGTTACAAGGACTGTATACATCTAATGTAGTAATTATAAAATTTACATACAAAAATATAAGGGGTACTTGAGAAACAACTAATGGGCTAATGGGGTACATCAACAAAAAAGATTGAGAACCACTGCTTTAATGCATCTGCTCATGCTACGACCTTATATCTTAAAAACAAAATAAAAACTCCATTTTTTATTACATTTTTGAATTCCTCATTGCAATTAATGGAAAATGGCAAAGTTTAAACAAAATTGATCAAACAGATTTTGAGAACAAACACAATTCTGTAAGCCACTTAGAAGAGGTTTCACTAACACTCTGCCTCAATTATAAAGATACTATGTAATTTAGACAAATGATAGATAGTTAAGTTTCTACCTTGTATTAAATTTAATAATTAAGTAAATTAGGAATTAAATAATCAAAAATAAATATATTTATTTTTAATTTATTTAATTATTAAATTTAATGCAAGATGGGAGCTTAACTACCTATCTTTTGTCAAAATTATATAGTACCTTTATAAATAACTGTAGGATTTTGCCCCCTTGTTCAAAAATTTTGTGACAGTTTGATTCCATGCCACCATTTTTTTTTAATAGAAAAACACTTGTGATGATTTTAAAACTAAGTATTTTATATATATTAAATAGATTAGCCATATTATAGCTCAATTAAAATTTGGCAATATCATTTGTTTATTACTATATGTCATGCTAAGTTTTATGTGTAATTAACAGTATAAGTGCAAATATAAATATATATATATATATAAAAATAAATTACTTTTAGGTAGATTTTGCTAATATTTTACTATTATTCAATAATATATTAGATCAGTCAAATCCATTGTTTATTATTGACAGAATAATAATGAATATTGTTAATGAATATTGTTAATGAATATTGTTTTGTTAAAATGAATATTGTTTTGTTAAAATAAATTCTTTAAATTGTTATTCTATAATGAATATTGTTTTGTTAAAATAAATTCTTTAAATTGTTATTCTATAAAATTTCTAAAATTTCAATATTTTGTGTTTGTGTTTTTGAAGGAAATCAATTGCATTGAATGAATGCAATTGCTACAATATTAAAGATCTTCTCTTAAACTTAATTTTATATCATTTTAAAATACAACTATAAGTTCATATTTTATGTAAATATTTTGATGTTATAAATATACTTATATAGAATATTTCATAGAAATTATAAGTATAATTATCATAATATGTGTTGAAAGTTAGAGAAATTTATTCATACACAAATTAATATTTCATTGTATTTCAAACTATTAATTAAAATTTTAAATGTAAAGTAGTCTCAATGTTAAAATTTCTTACTTGAAAGCTTTTTCTAATCAAATTTTATTTTCTGCATTACAAAAAATTTAGAAATCATCATTTGTTTAGGTTATAAACTTTAAAATATTTCATGTGCTACTTAAACTGAATTTTTCACCTGAATATAAAAATGTTTCTAATATATCTTCATATAATACATTAACTAATGACAAAACAGCTGTGAAAGATGAAAATGTGACAGAACTGTTAATGAGGATGTTATATTGACAACTGAATTTTAATGAATATAGATCCTAGTATATTTTTGCTGCTTTATCCAATTATTACAAAAATTAGTGATTCTTGGCATTATGAAAGTTCCAGAATTTCTCTATTTTAACTTGAAAAAATTAGATTCATATTTTTCTTACTAGTGAAAAATATTGAAGTATTTAGAGAATGTTAAAATAATAATTTAACACTTTCTAATTAATCATTCAAACTATTTCATACTAAAATTAGAATAGAATTATGTTAAATTATATAAGGAAAAAATGTTTAATTCATATTTAAAAGAAAATATGTTAAATTATAATCTTCACGTACATAGTTTAAATAATTTTTAAAATATTAAAATCTATCTAAAAAAGCAAATGTAATTCATTTCAAACTAAAAACACATCCAAAAATGTTTCTAATGAAAATTTTTAAGTTCATGAATTAAAATAAATAATAAATAATTATTAATGAATAACATTACAATATTTGTTATTTTATTAAATTATATAAATTTAATAAAACAATAATTTGAAAAAATACTTTGTAGTAAAAAGTGCTACATAAATTGTAGTTTAATAATTATATATTAAAAACTATGTATGAATTTTATTTTTAATATTTATATTGTTTCAAATATTCATTAATGATATTTACTTGACAATAAAATCAATACTTTTTACCTTTGCTTTCTCTGCCACTTTATTAAGCAAATCACTGCTTTTGAGCCATCCCCACATTCCATTTCCCTCTTGTGATGACAATTTTGTGGCTGGATATTCATCAATTGGTAGATCAACAGTTGCAGTTGGTATAGAAATGGCACTAACAGGTTGAGTGATCGTAGTAACAGCAGGATTAAGAATTGGAGAGCTAAACAAACATTCATTATTAAAACTTTAAATCAATTTCTTATTCATAGTTTTATCTATTAAATATATATAAGTAACCTAGATGTAGTTGAATACACAGATTCTGGCAAGACAGATGGAATAGGTCTGGAAGGAATATACAATGATGATGTAATAGTATTTTCAATTCCTTGAGGAACAGTGGGAAAAAATGGAGTTGGCTGTGGTGGAGGTAAATTACCAAGTGCAGTTACAAATGTGGCTTTAGTTTCTTCTCTATTTAAATCAATATTTGACGAGAGAGTTAATTGCTCCAATGTAGGAATAGGAGAGCTTTCTGAAGGGCCTACAAACACAAATCTTTTCTTTACAAAAATTTTCATTTATAATATATTATTTTATAGTTTAATAAATGTCAATCATTTTTAAATATTACACATAAAATGAGATGTGTTTTAAAAATTACTAAATTGCATCTGATCATCATCTTAGCTATTAATATTTATAATCACTTCTTATAATTTCAAAGCAAATGTCAGTAGCAATTAACATAAAAATCTGATTAAAACAAATTTTATTATTCATAAAAATAATTTTAATTATCACACACATTTCACTTAAGCAAAATCAATTTAAATTAAAAATTTTAAATTGTTGAACAAACAAGATCTTAAATTTATGCAATTAATGTTTATTACTTTCTAATTATAAAAAGTGTAACAGATTAAGAAAACATTTATACTATTTAAAAAGTACTGTATTTTATTTTTCATAAATGTTTTAAAAGCTAATTCATTCTCACATAATATTTGGAGATAAATTCTTCATAAAATTATATATATA